ATATGCAAACAACATGCTCCGATATATTGAGGGTTATGTTCAAAAGGTAAAGTTAATTATGGTATCAATACCATTAGCAAAATGTAGATGGCTTCTTCACCCTCCCAGCCTGGTTAATTAAATGGAAATATCATGTTATAGTTTTCCATTTCTTGCATTATAGGTAAATCCAGGGAATGCACCTTTAGTCGTTGGGCAGCTGTTAGATGATGAATGCCCTGAGGATTTCATCATGGGTCTCATTCTTTCAGTTTGTTCTCTTCTTCCTGTCGAACCCCTTGTGGATGAATGTGAGAAGAGGTGTGTTGTATCGTGGTCCCTTGCATCTTTTTTTCTCTTCTTTCTTGTCCTCACTCGACTTTTTGTTTGCAGGAATCGTCTCCGGTTGCTGACTCAGTTTTTAGAGCATCTAGTGAGTGAGGGCAGTCAAGATGTGCATGTTCATAATGCTTTGGGTAAAATTATTATAGATAGTAATAACAACCCAGAGCATTTTCTCACTACCAACCCATATTATGATTCACGTGTTGTGGGTAAATATTATGAAAATCGAGATCCAACACTTGCTGTTGTTGCTTATCGTAGAGGACAGTGTGATGATGAACTGATCAATGTCACAAACAAGAACTCCTTATTTAAGTTGCAAGCTAGGTATGGACATTGTCATTCTTAAATAACATGTAATCATGAATCCTGATGCTTTTGTTTTGTACATCAGCTTTAATGACCTATTACTTTTTTTTAAGATATGTGGTGGAAAGGATGGATGAAGACCTTTGGGAGAAAGTTCTTAATCCTGATAACGAGTATAGAAGGCAACTTATTGATCAGGTTGTGTCAACTGCTTTGCCTGAAAGCAAGAGTCCTGAGCAAGTGTCATCAGCTGTAAAAGCTTTTATGACTGCTGATCTCCCTCATGAACTGATTGAGCTTCTTGAAAAGATAGTGCTGCAAAATTCTGCCTTCAGTGGGAACTTCAATTTGCAAAATCTGCTGATATTGATAGCTATCAAGGCTGATCCATCAAGAGTTATGGATTACATTAATAGATTGGACAACTTTGATGGACCTGCAGTTGGGAAGGTAGCTATAGAAGCTCAATTGTATGAAGAAGCATTTGCCATTCAAGAAGTTTAATTTGAATGATCAGGTCGTAAATGTTCTGTTGGATAACCTCAATAGCATTGATTGAGCTGTGGAGTTTGCATTCCGCGTTGAAGAAGATGCTGTCTGGAGTCAAGTGGCTAAGGCCCAACTTCGTGTAGGGGATGTGAGTAAAGCAATTGAGTCCTTTATTCATGCTGATGATGCTACTGATTTCTTAGATGTCATAGAGGCTGCAGAGGATGCAGATGTATACCAAGACTTGGTGAGATACCTATTAATGGTGCGGCAGAAAACCAAGGAGCCGAAAGTGGACAGTGAACTTATCTATGCTTATGCCAAGATTGATCGGCTGGGTGAGATAGAAGAGTTCATTCTCATGCCAAATGTTGCTAATCTGCAAAATGTGGGAGACCGCTTGTATGATGAAGCCCTTTATGAGGCAGCGAAAATCATATTTGCATTTATTTCTAACTGGGCTAAGCTGGCTATCACACTTGTTAAGCTACAGCCGTTCCAAGGTGCCGTCGATGCTGCTTGGAAAGCAAACAGTTCAAAAACATGGAAGGAGGTTTGCGTCGCTTGTGTTGATGCTGAAGAATTTCGCTTGGCTCAGATATGTGGTCTCAATATCATCATTCAGGTGGCTTTCTTGCTCCCTATCTTAATTTACACTCTTGTTTTTCTGCTTGGGGATGGACAAGCATTGTAAAATTGTGTCTAAGTCTGTTCTCAAGCAGTTAATAATGGAAGTTAGATAATTAGGTTAACTGTGACATGCATTTATATGTCATCAATTTCTTGGCTATGCTTTTCCATAAGGCAGTGTTAGTTTTATATTTTTTGTTGGTTCAAAATAAAACATACGTAGTTTTTACTTTAAAAGTGCATAAGTCTTTCGTTTTCTAGGTTGATGACTTAGAGGAGGTTAGTGAGTACTATCAGAACTGTGGATGCTTCAATGAGCTTATATCTCTAATGGAGAGTGGACTAGGTTTGGAATGTGCACATATGGGCATTTTTACTGAATTGGGAGTTCTGTATGCAAGATACCGTCCAGAGAAGCTTATGGAGCATATCAAACTTTTCTCAACTCGTCTCAACATTCCAAAGCTTATTCGAGCTTGTGATGAACAGCAGCACTGGAAGGAACTAACTTATTTGTATGTTCAGTATGATGAGTTTGACAATGCGGCGACCACCATAATGAACCACTCTCCAGAAGCATGAGATCACATGCAATTTAAAGATATTATAGCCAAAGTTGCAAATGTTGAACTCTATTACAAGGCTGTGCATTTCTACTTGCAAGAACACCCTGATCTTATCAATGATGTTCTTAATGTGCTTGCCCTGCGTGTTGGCCATGCACGTGTTGTGGATATAATAAGGAAGGTATAATCATCTCTTAGGAGTCATAGGGGTTGCCCCGTGTTGTTCTTTGTTCATCTTTAATCCCCTTCTCTTCATTGTAGAGAAAGATAATGCAAGCAAAGGATTCTGCCTACTATGTTTTATTTACACTTGCAATTCATTGAGTTTCAGGCTGGTCACTTACGTCTTGTTAAGCCATACATGGTTGCAGTTCAGAGAAACAATGTGGCTGCCGTGAATGAAGCTCTGAATGAGATTTATGTAGAGGAAGAGGACTATGACAGGCTTCGTGAATCTATAGATCTCCATGACAACTTTGATCAGATAGGCCTTGCTCAGAAGGTGAGAGGTTCTACTTTAGTTATTTTGTGTGTTGTGTTAAACTTCAGTTTTTTAAACTATCAAGAGAGAGATTGTTTTACGATTGGGAATGGTTTGTATAAGCAGATTGAGAAACATGAACTTCTTGAGATGAGGCGTGTTGCTGCTTTTATATATAAGAAGGCAGGGAGGTGGAAGCACTCCATCGCCTTGTCAAAGAAGGACAATCATTACGGAGATGCGATGGAAACATGTTCACTGTCTGGTGATCAGGGAGGTGGAAGCACTCCATCGCCTTGTCAAAGAAGGACAATCATTACGGAGATGCGATGGAAACATGTTCACTGTCTGGTGATCGGGAACTTGTGGAGGAATTGCTTGTCTATTTCATTGAGCATGTATTTCTTCTTTTGTTTTATTTAATGGAGGTGTGTGCTAGGTGGGCTTTTTTTTAGGAAATCACTAATTTTAGGGTTCACTTACTAATCTAAATTTCATCTCGTCTAATGTAGGGAAAGAAAGAGTGTTTTTCAGCATGCCTCTTTGTTTGTTATGACGTAATCAGGCCAGACGTTGCTCTTGAGCTTGCCTGGATCAATAATTTGATTGATTTTGTCTTTCCATATCTGTTGCAGGTGATTTACCCCTTCTGCCATTTGTTCTCAATTATGTGTTAAAATTTGATTTTCTTATCCTCAAACTTTCTGTTTGGTTCTTTTTCTGGCTTTTTTTTGTCTCCCAAATAAAGTTTATACGGGAGTACACAGGCAAAGTGGATGAACTTATGAAGGATAAAATTGCAGCTATGAATGAGGTGAAGGCCAAACAGGAGGAGGAGAAAGACATGGTTGCTCAGCAGGTACGGATATTTGCAAAATCTCTTTGATTTCTAGCCTACCTTTTTTTCTTTCTGGGAGAAAGTTGGCAGTAGAGCAGAGTGGCGTGTTTCCTCCTTGTGGAACAGTTATAACTTTTCTTCATGTTACAAAGTAGGAGATTTTGAAAGAACTACACAACTCTTGCCTTGGGTGCTTTTAGTTCTCACTGCTCACTTTTATTGGTGGTCAAGAACTAATTAACTATTGTCATTGTCGTGTGCTTGATCGCACAGAAGCTATCCATCATGTCTTAGAAATTAAATTAAACCACCTTACGGTGAAAACCACCTTGATATGAGACTTTCCTCCCTCGGCAAGGGCAAAAAAAAATAAAGAGGCTTTCATTAGTCATCGCTGCAAATGGGCAAGAAACTTATGTTATTTTCCTGTGCTGTAAAGAATTTAGCAAATCAGATCAGTGTGATCGCTCGAGTGCTATTAGATGTCTCTACTGGATGCTAATCTTCTTTCCTAAGAACTAGTGCCTTTGTTTTCCTGTCACCTGCAGAATATGTATGCTCAGTTGCTGCCTCTTGCTTTACCTGCGCCACCAATGCCTGGAATGGGAGGTGGAGTGATGGGTGGAGGTTTTGCTCCACCGCCACCACCTCCAATGAGTGGGATGGGGATGCCTCCAATGGCCCTATATGGCATGCCACCAATGGGCTCCTATTGATATCTGATGAAACCAGGAAATGTGTCAGCTTCCACAAGGTTGAGTCTCTAAGTGCCCACAATTTCCTGTTTACATTTGAATGTGAAATTGATCTTTTCAGTGGTTGTAAAAAAATATTGAGGTGGTAGCTTGCTTTCTTTGGTAATGCATCCGATATTGGGTTGTGGTTATTTACTGCCCGATGACGTTAGCAGTAAGGTTTTTGACAAAATTTTATGCAGCTTAGTGGTGACCGAAAAAATTCGGTGGAATTGTGGCAAGTGCCACATGTATAGGTTATTCTAGCTTTAATCAACCGGTAAAAATTTTTCAGTTTTCTTAATTGCTAGGATGTGTAGTTGCTTTGTTTTAGGACTCAATTTTGTACTTACCCATCTTTCTCCCCCGGTGTATAACAGAGTATTCTTCATAGTTCTAATTTCACAAATTTTTTCCTCTTTCTTTTCGCAGATGAATTTTTCTAGTCCTTATTCTTTTCTGGACTTTTAAAAATTTTTATTGTAAGTTGGTTCGGTTCAGACACTGCTTTTTGTGATATGCATTCTGATTTCTATTTTTTTGTTACATTCATTCGTACGGGTAGAGAACGAATTATGTTTGAGAGGTGGTGTAGAGTTGAAAACGCCCTAGCTGCCTGTGTATATATTTGCCATAAAAACATTAATGTGAAGTGGGTAAAGATTTTGATTCAATACCGGTTTAACGTGTAAAATAAATCTAGTAACAATGAACAAGAAATAATCCAAACAGCTCCTCGGTCTGCGAACCGCTACTCCCAATTGGAGTAAAGCCCGGCCCACTACTCAAATACCCTCCCTCTCTTGTCATTGTTGAAAAACCCTCACTTCTACAGTCTGCGTAAAACTCACGCCTCCTTTCACCTCCTTAGAACAGTCAAAAACCAACATTTCGTCCTCTCGCTCTAACTTCCATACCCTCTTTTTATAAAAACCGTAAATCCCAAATATTTTTCATCTATCAAAATAGCCCTAAACGCCTCACTCTAGAAAAGCAATTATGGCAAGCAAAGAGCCCGTACACGAGCACAGAGAAGACGAAGAGGCCCCCGCCGCCGAGGATGAAGACACTGGAGCTCAAGTCGCACCTATCGTCAAGCTCGAGGAAGTCGCTGTCAGCACCGGCGAGGAAAATGAAGATCCGATACTCGATCTGTCTGTATTCTTGTTTATATTTCTGATTCAAAAGTTCTTCGCTTTATCTAGATATTCGAATAATCTGAATTTATATATATAATTTTATTTATTAGGAAGTCGAAGCTGTACCGATTTGATAAAAACGGGAATCAATGGAAAGAGAGAGGCGCTGGTACTGTGAAGCTGTTGAAGCACAAAGAGACTGGAAAAGTTCGCCTTGTTATGAGGCAATCTAAGACTCTCAAGATCTGCGCCAATCATCTCGGTTCGTTCTCTTCTTTCTTTTCCTCTTCCTAAATTCCATTTATTCTTAGTTTTTAATATTTCATAATTTTATACAAAATATTTGTGCAGTGTTGCCGACGATGACAGTGCAGGAGCACGCAGGGAATGATAAATCGTGCCTATGGCATGCTTCTGACTTTGCAGACGGTGAATTGAAAGATGAACTTTTCTGCATTCGTTTTGCGTCAGTGGAAAGTAAGTATATTATCTTATGTCACTTTGCTTCTTTGCTAAATAAAATTGAATCAGTGTTGTTTCTATTCTGTATTTAGACTAAGATCAGGAGCTGCAAATTAGGGTATAGTAAGTCAACAGAATGTCAGAAAGTTGAGCGTTGAAATTTCCTTTAAGTAGATAGTGACTAGCGTTCCAATTTTTTGGGATAACGTTCATTTATACGAAGAAGCAGCATTAGTTGCTACAATGCAAAGCAAGCTGCAAACAGCAGCACAAAACACTAATCAAACATGGAAGCAGGCTGGCCCCAAACAGAACGAAGTTCCAAATTGACAGTTTCACTAGCAATGTTATGAAAACCCGCAAGTCTAAATCTCACAAGATTCACATTGGAACAAAATATTTGTTGCTTGGAACTCATCCCTCCATGGTGCCTACAGTTTCTTTCCTTCCAAAGATGGTAGATATATGCACATTACATGCTAGTCTGAAAATAACTAATATCAGAGCTTTCCCACTAAGTTTCTTCCTTGCACATGGCAACTCAGCATGCCAATCTCCTGCAGCCCTATGTATGCCACAATCATTAAGATCGCTTGCTTATATCTTCTTGTAGTAAACACAAGTAAAGAATATACAATACTTTGTCTTAATTTCATCGTTACAAAAATCGGCCCAATGACTGCACTGGTCGCCCAAGAACTCATTCTGCTTTTAGTTAGCAGTCTATCCTGAATTGCCGTCCTAGAAATAATGGCATGTCTAGGAACATGAAACTGAAACCATACCATTTTATTCCAACCCACCTTTTCCTATCTGTGTTTAATTTCATCCCAAACATAAGCAGCCTTGTATGTTGCCCCAAGTGTTCACCAAGTCTCTCTCCATTTTTCTGTATAAAGAGAAGAGCTAATGCTCTCAAGTTAAAAAACCTTTTTCCAATTCCTTTGGATTGTAGGAATTTGCATCACAACTCCTACCTTTTATGTACATAAGCCTGAATCCATGCCACCCAAACAGAACCAGCCTTTGTGAACACCATCCAGAGGTTTTGAAGAATGCATCCTTGATTCCAGGTGAGCCATCAGACTTGGGATGGAAATTTGTCTGCCAACTCAACTGTTCCCCTTTTGCATTACTCCTATTGCTCTTCCTAGAGAAAGCATCACAAAGCTAAGCTGCACAAAGCTGTGTAACCTTATTTATAACACTGAGGCAAGACAAGTTCTACTCCAAAAATTCTGAATCCTAAAGATGACAGATTGGATTAACTGCAAACTGCCTATGTTAGGAGAATAGTTATTGTAGATTTTTTTTTTTTTGTGTGGTTATATATGTCTGCGATGGTTTATCGAAATCTACCTTTTGTTTCTTTATGGGCCATTCTCCTCCTTTAGTGGTTAGTGAAAATACTGCAAATTGCAGAATATGTAAAGAAATAAGAAACATTAGTAAGAATAACTTTAATACCTAAGCTTTAGGCATTTCTATGATGGCAATTTGAAATATCTTTGCTGTTAACACTAGTGTTTTCCTTGGGTTTGATATTTTTCTTGGAAAATAAGATGGAATAAGGTTAAATCTTAAATGTAATTTCATATTGATGACAAAATGTCATTTAAATAAGATAGGTACACTAGAGTTTTTTATTGAGAATTAAAAATTGTGTTGCTGCTAGTGTACTAGCAATATGCTTTGAATTATTGAATGTTTTATTTTTTAATTCCTCAATACTTGGTGGAATCATGTGTAATTGTATCTTTGAGCTGAATTTATAATTTTTTTAGACAGATGTAATAGAAATAGTTACTTGTGTGATTTGGGCTCTTTAATTTATTAACTTTTTCTGAGATCTTGATATGCAGTGATAAATGTGAATGTTTCATTGAAGTTTTTTTGTGCCTTTATGATTTCTTTTGTTGACGACAATAGGGGAACAAAGCCTTCTGTTTTTACTGATTTTTCTCTCTTAAATTTAGATTGCAAAACCTTTATGGAAATTTTCCAAGAAGTTGCTGAATCACAAAAACCAAAAGAGGAAAATAAAGATGCATCTGCTACTGCCACTCAACTTGAGAAGTTGAGTGTTGAGGAAAAGAAAACTGAGGATAAAGCTGGAGAGGATGAGGCTGTTGCAGCAAAGGAAACAAAGAACGATACAGAGAAGAAAGATGAGGAGCCAGCTTCTTCAACTTAAAAAGGGGTTGGGTTTGTTTTCCATGCCATATGCTTTTGGCGAATATGATGAGATTAGTCACCTGATCTCACCTCCCAACCTATGTCTTGCATATTCCTGCGGATGAAACTAGAAGGGTCTGGAAGGGTCGAGGTCCGTTGTGTCCTTAGGTTTGAGTGTTTGTCGAGGTTTGGTCAAACCCTGAGTCATGTCAGTCATGTTTGCATGTTGAGAGTTGTGTTTCGCGGTTTGAGCACTGTCAAGGAGGGTTCATTCAATCAGGTTTTCCCCAGCGTTGCTACTATGTCGAAATTTTCTTACTGCTCAGTCCACTGCATTGAAAGGGTATTTGATATAGACAATTTATTTTTGTTGGATTTAATTATTTGAATTTTGTATGTCTATTAGAAAGTTTCGGTGAAAAGAAATTCGGTTTGCTAGAAGTGGCTAGAAGGTAGATGCTAGTTTTAACCAAACTGTTCTATTCTATGGATTTAAGAAATCATAAAGGAAAAACCCCAAAAATTTTAATTAAAGCAAATCTCTCCTTATTTTCTTGGATGATTCATTCATGCATTCTCTATGTGGCTTTAATGCTTTGTAAAAGCTGATTGAGGTGGGTGCTGAGGTAGCAAAGCATATATGATTAAAAATCGGCGCTGTAATTGTGCTTGTACGTGCAGTTGGAAGTTGGAACTTCAATTCTGTTGGGCCTGGGCCTAATATTATAGACTACCAAACCAAGCGCCCAATGGCCCCTTTGCAAGATGTTTTGTCAATATGAATGCCGAAAGAAAGAAAAAGAAAGGAATAACAGCTTATCATGTGCAGACGTGGCAACATCAAAATGGGGATCAAGGGACAGCATGAAATACATCGGTCTTAGGCTTGGCGCAATTGTGGGAGCAAATGCCTATGCCATGCCATTGGTCCATAAAAGCAACTTGAAGGTGAAGGTGAGACTCTGGGATCACTCTATCAGCTCCTTCCAAGTTATTGACAGAAAGGGGCGTGGGAGGGAGAGGGAGAGCCCCCCCACCCCAACTGGCCTACACAGAAAGGGAAAGTGAAAGGGATAGATAGTGTATGTTAGACGAATAGAAGGAGATGTCCCCTAATGACAATTGGCCTAGCAATTTTTGAAAGGTTTTCTTGTTATGCATTGAAATTGAAATTGAAATTGAATCAAAAGGGAAAAAGAGGACCTAAAATTAGAGAGAGCTATAAATGGTTGATTTGGATGGCAAACCTAACACATCCCCCTCTCACGAACTTCCCTTCTACCTTCTTTAATTTCACATCAAACCCATCTTCTCTCCCCCCCCCCCCCCTCCCTCGTGCATTGTACTAAACTTCATAATCATTGTACGGCGTTGGACATGGATAATAGTGTACTATATTGACAGAAACAAGGGAAAAGATTTGGTTGTTAAGGTTGATAAACTAAGATATTTTAGTCCTTAATCATGCAATTTTATTGTTGCTTGTCGTCGTACCTCACTCAATATTTTCAAAACAAAATCCAATGATTTTGTGAAGAGTCGACAAATGGGGATTTGGTTGTTGTGATGGATGTATCTAGTATCTTTCTAGTTCTTAATAATAATACAGCTTTTGGTCTGAATCATTATCGATTATTTTGCCCATAAAATTATAATAATGGAACCTCTAACAAAGCTATGGCCTTGGCATTGGCAAGCTGCCAGCAGGAGAGAGAAGCCTGATTTAGGATAAGTTAGCATCATGCCATACATAGCATCTTTTACAATTGGAAAGCTATGTCTATTTCTATCAGTTGCAACTTGTTTGAAACTTGCTGCAATAATTGAATCACCAGAATGGGAGGTCGGCTATTGATTATTCCATCCTCCCAACTCTCTTTTTACATCTAATTCTCTTCATTCAAATGCATCTTTTTTCTTTAACACAAATATTCAATTCACTCTCCTACCACTTTGTTGCTATTCAAATATACTCACACCAAACTTGGGTTGAGTAAAGAATGTTAAAAAGAGTGGTGCTTTGGCATCTAAAAATATGAGAGTGCCCAAATAGCTGTGATGTCAGTTTGATAAAGCTTGTGGAAGAACAAAATGCTAAATGAAGTAAAGAAAAAAAAAATTCCCGGTTTTGAAGGAAAAAGATTATTGAGTTTATGTCTAAAAAGATTCCCAGTAAGTTAAGGGGACCCCCAAAGCAAGGAAAGAAACAAGGCAATTCCGACAACAGAAAAAGGACAGAAATCCTTCCAATGGTCCTACAGTTGGTCTATAGATAATTTCCTGCTCTTCACTCTTCTGCATCACCAAAACCACAAGCCAGCAGTCGGTAATTCCTTGGTCTTTTCACTGATTAAAACCAACGCAAACAAAAAAAAAAAAAAAAACACGTACTACTGGTCTACTTTAAAGAAAACTTGGTCGTGATACGCAGTGATAACATGGACGGGATATGTATTTGACTACTCACTGACCTGAATTTATTGAGAAAAATATTGTCAGTCTAATGCTTCATTTGAATGACCTGGCAATTTATCAATAAACATATATAGCGGGAGAGATTTGATGGTTACCTGACATTGTTAAAAATCTTTGGATTAAGACACCCAATTAGCATTTGCATGTCGATTTCCTTTTTTTTTTTTTTTTTTAATATCCTTTTGGCATCTATCAATTAGTTTTTTTCAATGGTTATTTCATTGGCCAAATTGAGAAAGAAAACAAAGTTATGGATGAATAGAATCTACATCTGATTCATGACGCTAACAAATTCTTTCTTCTTTTACATAAATATTTGAATTTCATGGCTTTAGCCAACTGTTCTATGTGTTAATTTGGTTGAGCAGTTTCAGATTCTTGAACTTAGTCTAATACATTTTGAATTAAGAATATACAGTTAACCCTATTCACAATTTACTTTCCTTTGATTTCAAGCATCCTTTAGTTTAACATGTTTAACCTATTCTTAACCAAATCCTGGATGCAATGTATTGATGTCCATCATTTTAGTTTAACTTGAAGCCTATATGTGATACATGGGAATTTCATGACAACTTGACTAGGTGGTTACTTAAGAAGATCAGGATGCCATGTATAAGATCAAAGCTATTCAAAAAAGATGCTCTATCGGACTTAGAATTTAATTTAATTGATTTATCTAACTATTTTTAAAAAATAACATTTAAATGTTTGGATTTCAAATCTTAGTACTTATAATTTTTTTTTTATTTTCATGCTATATTATCCTTTGTAAAAAAAAAATTGTTGAAACTGAGCATGAGAAAAGAAACCAGATAGAATAAAAAGAATATTAAGGTCTTTTTTCCATTATGGGAAGTTGATTTCTTGTATGTATCACTTCTAGAATCTAGAGCTTGAGACTAACTTGCCAAAGTTTAGGCAAAGATCATTATACCATTTGGACAAGCTTCATTGAAAATAATGCAAAGCAAAAATATCTTCTTCCCTCATGAACTAAGAGATGGTGCCAAACATGCCATTTATTGGTCAGTCACAAATTTTAAAACCAAATTTTGCAGCTTTAAATGTTCTTTTTTCCCCTCAAATCGCTTTATTACTTATGATTAGTTGGAGTTGGAGGCAGCTTTAAAATAAATGAAGCCAGTTATCAGTGAGACAGTGACTAAAGAAACTTTCACTAAAAAAAATACTAATTTTATTTTTATAATTTTTCATATTTGGGGTCTTTGCTGGATAAGGGATGGATGATTAAAACTAAAGAATTTAGACAAAACAGTAAATTAATGAGATAGTAAGAAAAAACAATTGCAGGAAACTGTCAATGATTCCCTGTAAAAGATATTACAGGGAGTTGCAGTATGATAATATATCTTGAGATTCTGGTAAAATTTTTTTTTTTTTATGAATATTACTAATACAATTTTCGAAGCTCAGACTGAAATAAGCAATATACTACCATAAAATAGCGAGAGAGATAAAGAGCATTGAATGCATTTTGCAACTTATCTGGACACACACAACACTTGCCGCTTCACTACTTACTGCTGTCATTTCCTACATTCTCTCTAATTCTCTTCCTCTTTATATTCTCTCATTCAAGGGTTTTGCTGCTCTTCCAATTCCCATTTGACTCTATCTTCTATCTTCCTCTCTTCTTCTGTGTCTTTCTTTTCTTTCCCTTTCACAGTCATGAATCCATCAGAAGAATTTTCAGAACAGGGAATATCTCAACAGGTACAAACTTTTTCATTGCACCTAAGGCTTGCTTATCCAAAAAGGTTAACGAAATGTAATGCAGTTATTATCTCTTCTGTTTCTTGTGTGTCTCTCTGTGTTTTAAACACTTGGGCTTTTTGAGCTTGTGACTGATAGTCAATCTTGGATGGGATTTTTTTTTTTAATTTCTTTTTAGTGACTATTGAAATGCTTATTTATAAGATAAAGTGAGGATTTTGAAATTAGGATATGTCAACACTGAGTATAATGTGAATGGGAATCAAATGGAAGAACACCAGTTTCTTACTTGCTTATGTTTACTATTACCAGGCTCTTTACGGTTTCTGACCAAACTCGTTCCCAAGTTTTGAGTGAATTTTTGGTTTTCTAATAGAGACTTGACTAACTTTATAAGCTGTCTTATATTAATCCTGAAAAGATTTTTAGGATTGAACTTGCATTGTGTTCATCCATAGGTACAGTGATTGGTAAATTCCATTACTTTGAGGCAGTATGTTGAACCCTATTGGAATATAGAGGATGTGATGCTAAGCTTGTTGTAATTCTGGAATTCAAATGAAAAAGGTGAAAAAAAAAAAATACCGAACTTTGTCCTGAAATTTTATGCATTTTAGCACTCAGCTTCATAGATTCAATTGAGTGAGTACAAGGAACAGAAATCTAACCTCAGAAGATTGCTATTAATATTGAACTATGCTGCTGATGCAGAATGAGGTCATGAATTTTATTGAGTGCCAGATTTAATGCAGGAAGCTAATTTCTGATAATACTGCTTATCTAATTTATCTTTTTACTCGTTTTATTGGTGGGGGTATTATCAACTTTAAATTTGTGGAAACACTGATATATAGTTTTGGTTTTCTGTGTCAGAACTTGAGGAAGGCATCTTGCATGACGGTGGTCACTTTAGCTTATCAAAGTCTTGGAGTTGTTTATGGTGACCTCAGCACCTCTCCTCTATATGTTTACAAGACCACCTTCTCAGGGAAGTTGAGCCTTCGTGAGAAGGATGAGGAGATATATGGCGTGTTTTCCTTTATCTTCTGGACATTTACTCTCGTTGCTCTCTTTAAATATGTTTTGATTGTGATGTCAGCTGATGACAATGGTGAAGGTAAGCTTGCTTATTCCTTATAATTGAACAATTGATTACCAATCACCTCATAACACATGATTGAGTTTTGTTCCTCAAGTTTCCCTAATGATTTTGTAGACCCGTACAGTTTTAAATGCTATCCGTAGTATGTTAATGGCATTTTGATTAGAGGAATTCAATTGCTTAGAAAAAAGTTTCATCATAAGATGATAAGAAATCTTCACCATCCTCTTACCATTTTCAGTTAGAATTATGATTTTACCCTGATGCTAAAAAGGAATAAGACATTTAACCTTGGCATTGACTACTAGATAAAACCATTCCAAGCACTCGAGAAAAAGTCTTGGGGGTTGGTGTGATTTTTATCTTTCTGTGAAATCGATGCAAATCCTTCTCCCCCTTCCCCTTTCTGCTGATAAATCCTTAGGACTTATCAATTTGATTCCATTTGGAACAATGAAGAAAGGAAGCTTATCAATCTCAACTTTTGAATTGTAACTCAGGTGGAACCTTTGCGTTGTATTCCCTGCTGTGCCGGCATGCAAGACTAAGCATTCTACCTAATCAACAAGCCACAGATGAAAAGTTGTTGTCATATGTAACACATGGATCCATGGAGACATGGCAGAGCTTTGCTCTGAAGTCGTTCTTTGAGAAGCATCCCAGATTTCGTAAAGGGTTGTTTATTTTTGTTCTTCTGGGAACCTGTATGGCAATTGGTGATGGAGTACTTACACCTACAATATCAGGTAGCTTAGCATCGGTATCTCAGCTGTGAAATATACTTCAACAGTCTTCCATCTTCTATCACCTGAATTTGTGAACCCCATCATACTTCCAACTGAAAAGGAAATAAGACCAGTGAGTGTGTGCTATGCCATATTGGAATTTTATGTTGCAGAAGATTGTAGGTCTAGTATTTTTTTGGGGGTTTGATAATTCAAAACATTTAGTTGTTCAAATCATAGTCATAATATTATCTTTTTTAATATCAATTAAACGGGGACAATGATCCCCATCATAACAGGTAATAAATATCAACTACCATTTGGTAGAACTGATTCTAGCATGAGAGTTCCTGTACTTTTTTTTTTTCTGGCCTAAGTATAAATAATTAGACTGCAAATTTATAAGATATCACGAAGCTGGATAATTGTTGACCTGAGTGGTTAAAGAGTAGGAGAAAGGACCATGGTTACTGCAAGCTTAATGGGTATACGCTTACACAGTAAATTTTGTGTACATCAATTTCTTGCCTGTGTGAAATAGTAGTGTAGTGGGTATATATATACTAGTTCAGTTAGTATCTTTTATCTGGTTCTCTCTCAGTTTTATCTCTGTGTTTATTGTAGTTGATAATAGTTCCTATTAGTATGATTTCCAATGGAGAGCCTATAAGGATATTCTTATAGAGATTTGCTTACACTCCTCCTTTCAGTTCTTTCAGCAGTTTCAGGTGTCAAGCTTAAGATCACTGCACTCCATGATAGTATGTCCAGTCTCTCAATTATTGTGCTTAAAAATGCAATTTCTAAAAACAATTACAATCTGTTAATGTTCATGTTGTTTTCTTTTGTTCCAGATTATGTTGTTTTGATCTCATGTGTCATCATTGTGGGGCTATTCTCACTTCAGCATCATGGAACACACAGAGTTGCTTTCATGTTTGCTCCAATTGTTGCAACATGGCTTCTGTGTATTAGCAGCATTGGAATATATAACATATTTAGATGGAATCCATACATATTTCATGCACTTTCTCCAATTTACATGTTGAAATTTCTTAAGAACACAGGCACAGAAGGATGGATCTCATTAGGAGGAGTGGTTCTTTCAATCACAGGTACCCCCTGGCAATTAGTATGGTCTACTTGCTTCAGAACAGAATCCTTGAAAGTTGAACCAAACATCTTTTCAATATTGTCTTAGGTGTGGAGACAATGTTTGCTGATTTGGGCCATTTCTCTTCACTGTCAATAAGGGTAAACTTAAAACTTTGATACATCAGGCTTCAACCGCTAGTTAATCAGTATGCCTTGTTCTGGATTTCTCAAACTTAATCTAATGAGATCTAGCAACTGCCATTCACATCCCAGGTAGCCTTCTCATTTCTGGTGTATCCCTGTTTGGTTCTTGCATATATGGGTGAGGCTGCTTTCCTCTCCAAGCACCATGAAGATATCCAGAGAAGCTTCTATAAGGCCATACCAGGCAAGGGCTAAACCAAGTATAACTGAAAACATCATGCTTTGCTTCCCATGATGATGTTTTTAATTTTTCCATGCAGAAGCTGTTTTTTGGCCAGTGTTCATTGTGGCAACTTTGGCTGCTGTTGTTGGAAGTCAAGCCGTAATATCAGCTACCTTCTCCCTTATAAGCCAGTGCTGTGTACTGAATTGCTTTCCCTTTGTGAAAATCATTCATACTTCAAGTAAAATATATGGGCAGATATACATTCCAGAGGTCAACTGGATATTAATGTGCCTCTGTTTAGCTGTGACAATAGGATTGAGGGACACCAACATGATGGGTCATGCATACGGTATTGATTTCAGCCACTGATTCAAAGCATAAATATTCTTCATTTATCTTAGCGTGTTGATAGTTATGCACAAATGAACTTCAATTGTTTTGATGGTAGGTTTGGCAGTCACTACGGTTATGTTTGTGACAACCTGTTTGATGTCATTGGTGATGATAATCGTCTGGAAGCAAAGGATAGCTATTGCAGTTGCATTCTTACTGTTTTTTGGATCAGTGGAATTGCTTTACATCTCAGCATCTGTTTACAAGGTTCCGGAAGGGGGTTGGATTCCTCTTGCGCTGTCTTTCATTTTTATGGCTATAATGTATATATGGAACTATGGAATGGCTAAGAAGCATGAATTTGATGTGGAGAACAAGGTTTCAATGAATAGGATAGTGTCTTTAGGTCCTAGCCTTGGCATGGTGAGGGTCCCCGGGATTGGTCTTATTTACAGTAATCTGGTATCTGGGGTTCCAGCTGTTTTTGGACACTTTGTCACAAACTTACCTGCATTCCATCAGGTACTGGTTTTTGTTTGTGTCAAATCTATCCAAGTTCCATATATTAGTGAAAAAGACCGGTTGGTCATTAGTAGGGTGGGTCCAAAGGAGTACTCTATGTTCCAGTGCATTGTCAGGTATGGTTATAAGGATCTGCAGCAAGAAAACTATGATTTTGAAAACAGATTGGTATCAGGAATAATACAATTTGTGGAAGCAGAAGAAGATAGTACTTTGAGACCAACTTCTATACCATGTGGAGAGTTGGGAAACTTGGATGTTCCAACTTTTGATGCTCCAAATCACAATTTAATAAATTCAAAGTGCAAGGATAACATTGAGCAGTTTTCATGTGATATTTTAGAGACTAAAACTAGCATGGAGCATTTGGGAAGTTCACCTCTTAAAGATGAGTCTCTGGAGATACTGAGAGCCAAAGAATCTGGGGTTGCTTTTATTCTAGGACATTCCTATGCAAAGGCCAAGAAATCATCTTCCATTCTCAAGAAATTTGCCATAAATGTCGTATTCACCTTTCTGAGCAAGAATTGCAGAGAACCTAATGTGGTCCTGAATGTGCCTCATACTTCTTTGCTAGAAGTCGGTATGATCTATTATGTCTAACTTTACATTATTATCCAAGAGAAGGTCCCTTACATGTGAACAAAGAGAGTCTGCAAAAACTGCTAACCCTAACATAAAGAGCTGGTGTCTTACACAATTAGGATGACAATTATAAAATGAAAATCTCTTCAATAGTTTATATTTTCTTGCTTCACAGTCTGAGATGATTATGTTCACAAGGTCTGGTTTTTCTCTCTTGCCCGTAAATGTTTGTCATATGATTAAAATTTTACTGTCAACTAGCTGCATATTCTGATTTCTTAAAGCATTGGTTCTTCCAATTAGATCAGTAATGTAATTGTACAACTTCAAATCTTTCTTTCCTTCAGTGAAGTTATTAAACAAAAAAAGGAGTAAAAAATCTGACATGTTATGAAGTTATACATTATGATTTATGATTAGAGGGTTGAATATTTTTAGCAGGTAAATACATATCTATGTTGATTTGCAATTCTGCTAAATACAGAAGTTTATTTGATCTTTTTTTTTAATAAGATTCAGAGTATTGATCTTTTTACCTTTTGCTTTATTTATTATTTATTGAATGGATAATAAAAAAATAAAGCACTAATATGAGTATCTACATACTAAGCAAATTGATAAATAATAATTTGAATGCTATATAATTAAATAATTGTTTGTAGAAAACCAAATTATCCATGAACAAAAAACAAATGTTCAAGAAAAAAGGATAACTTCATTTAGAATATGATAAAATTAGGTGTTCATAAACTGGATCGGATTGAACTAAATTTTGTCAACCTTTTAAAGATTTTGTTCAAGATTCAGCCTATCAAACACAAGAGATCCAAGTTTTTTTAAAAAAATATATTAAAATATTAAAATTTAAAATATACTTTTAAATTAAAATTAAATTAAAAATATTTTTTTAATAATTTAATATCTTGAATCAAGTTTGAATTTGAAAATCTCTATTCAAAATTCAACTCAAGTTGGACTAAGCTTGCAGATGCGTAATTTCATGAATTAAGTAAATTATAATAATTAGTTCTTCTTAAAATAAAATTTTGTAACAAGTGGTTGTCTTTCAGTTACCATTCTATTCCACTAACGAAAGAATCCATTGAGTATATTTCATGCATTAGGTAATTAATCTTGCTATATATTAATTAATTGGCTTATATTTATTATATTTTTTACTTGCTCTGCACTTGTTACATATATCCTTCTAGGAGTAGAAGTCCTCCAGAATAAAGGATTTGTAAACCTACATAAAGATTAACAAGGGAACATTGGATTATTCTTGTTATTGTTGGTGGTGATCTTTGAAGATGGAAAACAATGCATTAGAGTTTTCGGTTGTGCATGATCATGATAAAGTCTTGCCCAATGAATTACAACTCAATCTTGTTATCATCAAGCCATCATACTAGGTGAGCAAGAACAAATTCCAGGTTCCACGCAGTGTTTTGTTATCCAATGATGGTTCACGAATCATGTTCTAAATGCTTTGTCATTGTCAAGAAATCTCATTAAGATTGAAAAGAATCAAACAAGTTGCTGATATTTTATATCCATATATTCATTACCTTCCCCAGCCATCAAAATCAGGCCTAGTTTTACATCGTATTGATAGATTTAGCTCACCAAGATGGCCTGGTTTATCGTCTGTACTTCAAGAATGAGAGGACCAGAGAAGATGTGCTCATTGCCGACGATGCTAGCGGCAAGAGGCAGCAGCTATCGAATTATGCACGCAATCTTGGGGTAAAGACTGTCAATGTCATGATTTTTGAAGCACCTTCAGCTTCGTGTTGTCCAATATGCTTTGAAGACTTCGTGGTCAATCAAGTGGTTGCTTGGTTGCCATGCTCGCACTTATACCACTGTGCCTGCATTGATCAATGGCTCAAGAGGAAAAACTCGTGCCCTTTGTGTCGGTTTAAACTAGCTAAGCTTCAGTTTAAGTTTCTGTAATTCTGTAAATGTGAGAGTAGTTACTTTGTTTCCTTTACATACTCATTTTACATTTACTAGAAGTAGACCCGGGATTTTTTTAAAATTATATTTTAAATACGAAAAGTAAAATTTTTATGACAAGTTTTAAAGAATGATAACACATAAATAACTATAAGTGTTTTTTTTTTTAAATAATAATAAAAATATTTAAGAAATACATATACAAATTAAAAATAAATATAATTACATATTATCTTTGGACTTCGACTTAACCGGAGCACCTCCCATTCCAGTATCACAATTATTCTCCCATCTTGTTTTTTGAAAGAGTTACGAGGGAGCGAGAAAGTTTAGAAAGTGAGATGAGAGATAATGAAGTTTAAAAAAGAAAGAATTGCGTGTAGAGATAAAACGAAAGAGTAAAATGTATGTGAAAAAGAAAAATAAAAGTAAAATAAAAACATTTAGAATGATGAAAATAAATGAAAGAAAGGAAAAAATTAAAAAATATATATATGAAAAAAAGGTGTACACGACACCTACCACCATGATATTGTTTCATTAAAAAATTAAAAAAATTAAAAGAAAATGTTGAAAAGGAATTAAGATATGAAAAAAAATGAAAGAAAGCGAAAAAATAAAATAAAAAATTTTTAAAAACAAAGGAGAAAGTGTATGAGACACATACAACTATCATATTATTTCATTAAAAAAATAAAAAAAATTAATTTTTTAAAAAAAGTTGAAAAGAAATTAATAAAAAGTTAAAAATTGTTTTAGAAAAGAGTTGAGTTCCAAAATTTAGATTATTAATTGTATGGATGATGATTTTTTTAATATAAATTATAACTTAATTATACATATAGTTTTTTTATTAAATTAAAGTATTAAATAATATTTTTATTAATATAATACATATATATAAATAATAAAATATATTTTTTATATATTTAAAAAAAGATCTGAGTACTCCCAACTCAATTCTAATTTGATGCAAATTATTTAAATATGCAAACCTTGACCAATATTTAATTTTAAATATTGCATCATTGGACATTGGTTAATTAAAACCCATTAGATATTGGGTTATTTTATTATCTTTATATCCATTAATTTTTTTTACAAAATTTATCTATTAAAATAATTTTTAAAACAAAAAAAATGATAAAAAAATTAAATAGAATGACATGTAAATTTATTAAATTAAGATATTAAATAATATATTTTTAATAAAATACATATATAAATATAAAATTAAATAAATAATAAAATATATTTTATATATACCAAGATTGGAGGATAACACCTTTTTATCCGAGCTCTATTTAAAACAAAAATAAATTTTCATCCAATTATCTTAAATTAAAAAAGGTACAAATTGGATTAATACAAATTAAAATTCATTGAATATGAGTTATTTTGTTATTTTTATCTCAATTAATTTTTTTATTATCAAATTTATCTAATAAAAATAAAAATTAAAAAAAATCCAAAAATATTAAAAGCTTTAAAAAAAACAGTGCCACATAAAAACAGTAAAACATCTTAAACTCATTTTCAATTATATCTAATTTTTAAAAAAACTTAATTTGATCTCGAGATTTTTTTTTAATAAACAACACTTACGTTAGATCGGTACGAATTGAAATCAATTAAATACGAATTATTTTATCATTTTATTTTTATTATTTTTTTAAAATTTATTTAATAAAAAATAAATTTATAAAATACATAAAAAATTCAAAAATAAAGTAAAAAATAAAAAAATAAATTTTTTGAAGAAATACGGGGTGTCACGTGGAAGAAATATGGGACGTCACGTGAACACCTACTCCTTCAACCATCCACAAAATTAATATTATAGATAAAGGCGAGATCATTTGATATGGTATAAAACTTTTTTAATTTTACATATTTTTTTAATCATTCATTTCAATAAATTTAAGAATGAAATTAAATCATTTTTTTATTTTTATTTATTTTTTTATCACTTAAATCTATTAAAATTAAAAATTAAAAAAATATGTAAAAGTTTTTTAATTTTATATTGTGTAGATTAATTTGTGTTAATTGATTTAAATTCTCTTATTATTGTATACTGTTTTCTCAAATTTTGTATATATAGGATATATAAAATTTTCAGTTTTTATTTTTTTCAGGGAAATTGTTAGACTGCTAAATAAGTGCTGTGAAATTAAGGATGTCTCCTTTTTCTCATGTATAAAAGTTTTAACACAATTAAATAATTTTAAGCTTTGGATGCGTGATAAGAATTAAGAGTGTAAACGAGTCGAGTCAAGTCGAATAGTGAGAAGTTCGAATTCGAGCTTGAGCTCGACTCACAATTTAAGACTTGATATTCGGTTCAAATTCGATCGAGTTTTATTTTTCAAGTTCGAACTCGATTCGTGATCGAATTCGAGCTATTCGAGCTCGTTCGATTAACGCGATTAATATGTAAAAATAAGTTCGATTCGTATATTCGATAAGGAGTTCGATTATTCATGCTCGAATTCGAATTCAAACTCGAACTCGGATTCGGACTCGAAATATTTTATTAATTAAAATAATAAAAATTATTTAAATATAAAAATTTAATTAAACTCGTAAACTATTCGAGTCAGATATAAAAATACTCGAATTCGACTCAATTGATAAGTCGAACTACTCGAATTCTAATTCGACTCGATAATAATCGAATTGAATTCGAATTTTTTTAAAATTAAATTCGAATAATTTATGAGTAATAATGTATCATTTACACTCTAATGAAAACCACCTAATGAGTGTAACGTACACATATACTGCACATGGCCAAAAGTCGTAATTTGGTTGCAATTACTCATTTAATTTTCATCAGATATATAACGTGAACATAATAAAGTAAAGTGTAATGTGAACATGACAAACAAAATGTAATGGTACATTTATGACAAATTAAGTAGTCTTTGAATTCATCATGTGGGGATATTAAAATCTAAATCTAATTAATGCTTGATTAGACCATTCGAGGCACATTCATCGGATTGATCACCAATTCTGGCCTGAATATATTTGGTCATTGATAGGTGACTGATCTTTAATAATTAATGCAAAAAGATAGTCTATATGGTTGTTTAGGCTAGTCTAGGCCTTGGGCTAGGTCATGCCTGTTGTTCCTTGTACGTGGCAATTTCTCAATCATATAGCAACGCTTTCATGTTCATTCATGTTATATAATAAATAAAATATAATGATATTATATAAATATGAAATAAAAAGAAAATATAAAAGTGATATAATTTAAAATTATAATAATTATTATATATAAATTTAATAAAATAAAAATTATATTTTATATTTTTATATTTATATAAATTATAATATATAATTTTTATATAAAATATTATATAAATTTTAATATTTTATACCATATATATGAATATTCGAAGCAATTATGTGTATGAAAAACTTTGAATGGAATGCAGAAGAGGCAAAATGAAGGGATGCTCAGTCCATGTTCGTACCATAAAAATATATATACAATTAGTTATACAATAAGGGAAATGACAGGGACAATGATTGAGCAAATCCCAGCAAGAAAAAACGACGAAAGGGGATAAATTTATAGCGGTTGATAGAGCCTTTTCAATGACGAAACTTGTTGTTTCAGATTCAGAGTCAGTCATCAACTTTTAACTGAAGTTGCACCGCCACGGCCATGGTCGATTCAACATTGTTATATTTGGAAGCAACTACAAACCTTAATTCTCACTTTAACGTGTTGACTCTTTCATTTCAATTTCATCAGGGATCAAAGAAAACCATGGCTACGCCTGTAACTGAGCAAGAAATGGGCAGCATAGCATAGCGAGAGACAACGCGAATGCAATGGAAAATCAATACTAGTTTTTTCCGAATGCAAAGAGATCATTTGACCATTAGATAGGCTGGTTAGTGGTTAGGTGACAGGTAGCATCCATACTTGACAGTTAGTCGGCCGGCACACACAGCCCATTCCTGATTTTTTTTAACCCAATTTTAGAATTGTGATCTCAATTTCTCAATTCAACTGATAAATATTGTTGTTATTATAATACAGGTAGACCTGTTATCTTCCCGTTAATTAGGGAAATTATTTATTCACAAAAAAAATTATTATTCTTTTTTATAATTTTATTTTTGCTGAAAAACAAAGAAATGGAGAAATGGCATTTATTAATTTAAATTTAGTAATAATAATGAGTTTTTTTTTTTGGACTTTGTTGCATGCCCATGTGAACATAACATTGATGGACATTAAAAATGGCTTGCTTTCCTCAACCCCTTCTTTTCTTCACACTAGACAGCTACACAGTCTTTCTCTCTCTCTCTCTCGATCTTGGCCAAGCCATAGAAAGCAACAAACGCATAAAGAGTTTCAGAAAAAGGGGTTCAGAAAGCTATCCAATTCCACAGCCTTTTCCTTTTTCTGTAAGTAGTTTCCTTCCTTTTCCTGCAAATTTTCTTCTTTTTTACTTTTGCTATTACTAGTATTTTCTCAACCATTTCAATTACCTTTTTGGAATAATTTTCTGGATTCTGGAATTGAGACCGGCCTCTTGGTTATTTCATGTCTGTCTGCCTGCATCTTAGCCAAATAACTTAGATTTGTGCCTCCACTTAAAGATATTATGATGCAGAAATCGATCAGACTTTCTTCCTTTCTATTATTTGTATCTATTTCTTCAATTAACTTGGATAAAATCAATACGTTTTTGGGTGAAACTCTTTCTATCTGATTTTGATTTTCTTCTGGTTACCCATTTCCGTTCAGAAATTTGTCCTTTTTTGCGAGTAAAGTTTTTGTTTTGAAGTAGCTGGATGTCTTGTTCTGACAGTTGTAATAATGGAATTAGTGTTATAGATAATTTTGTCTTTCAAGTTGAGGACAACTGAACACACGCTATTAATGAGCGTGGCCTCACCTTCTCATATAATATGGGCTATAGCTTAATTGTTAGTCTGCTAGACTCATGGCCATGTAACCAAAATTTGTTATCACATGTTAGCCTATTTCCTTTCCTTTGATTTTATGGAATGGAGCAACTCAGTTCAACCATTCATTTTACTAGTTATATATACATGCATATACTCTACTAGTAGTCTAGTTAACAATGTTTAAGTACTGTAATCCTGAGCATTTGGTTCGGTAATTGGTGTATGATCTTCCTTTGCTTTGGTTCAAATATCTCCCTTCTCAACTTGGAAAAAAAAATATGGATACTATTATATGAGTATCTGTTATATAGGTTGAATTGACTAAAATTATACAACTGATTTGCACTGTTTCTTTGAACCCAGGTTTTTGTAACTGATTCTGATCATCTCACTTCCAACCAGCTTGCAAAATGGCAAATTCTTCTGTAAGAAATTAATCTGGTCCTTAATCTAAACGCACTTTTTTCAGTCCAATATGAAATGATTGTTATCTAATTATATCTATGACAATGTCTATATTGTTTTACTCTGTGTTTCATTTGCAAGCTTTTAGTAGCACCACTTTTCTAGCACTGAATTTTCCAATTATGGTTTATGTGTAATTTCCTCTGCTTTTGGGCTAATAACCTAAGGTCAATTTCAATACTTATTCGTGTTATGATTCTAGTCAAAATAACAACATAAGCATTGTAATAGGAACTAATAATATATGTGATTGCATTCTGAACAACATAGAAATTCATAGCCACCACTTGATGCACTCTATTTAGTTTTGTGGCCACTGATGCCCTTCTTGTTCATCAAAAACATACTACAATCTACAGCTGACAAGTTGTAATTTTTAATGGAAGCAGCCCTTTTCTGATGTAGAGAGATTCTTTATAGGGTTTTGCTTGGCTCTCCAAATAACTGTTGAATTAGAGCATAATGAACTAAATTGCTCCCATGGTTAGTACACACACGAACAGAAAAAAAAAAAAAAAAAACACTGAACTAACACTTTATTCTACCATCTTAAGTTATAGCATTATGAACTGTGCAGTGAAGATCTTCTATCTTAGTTGCATAACTTTGGGTTTTTCTCTTTTTAGGCTTATTTAACTAAAAGTATGAAGAGATTAGAATCCAAAAAGTCACATTCATGGTGGTGGGATAGCCACATCAGCCCTAAGAATTCAAGGTGGCTGGCAGAAAATCTCGAGGGTAAGTAAGGTGCTGCTATAACTCCCCCCTTGCTTTCCAAAACTCTCTCTCTCTCTCTCTCTCTCTCTCTCTCTCTCTCTCTGTTTGGAAAGGAATTTTGGTCAAAGAACATAAGATTATAGCAAATAATATATCAACATGCTTCTTGTTGTTCAGTACTTTAGTTGTTGCAACTTAAATGAGATGTTATTAGAAAATGTGGTAAAATCTTATTTCTCTCCTGTGTTTGCCAATTGTTGTTTCCTTTCCTTTCTTGTATGCACACAAAAGAGCTAAATATTTTTAATGGAACACCTCTTGTTGAACTAACTAGTTTGTTGCAAGGCTTTGGGACTTGATCTTTCTTTTGTTTAAGTGAAGAAGTTTATATTCTAAAAGAAGCAAAAGTTAATACATGATAAAATGGGGCAGTATAATATTAGCCACTCCACTGTTTTCCTCGTACCCCCATTCTAGTGCTGTAGATATTACTCCATCCCATCTGCATAGCTTTTGGGATAGGAGTAGGCTTCTTCACCTCTGCATCTTTTATTGAAAAAAAGATTTTGTCTATGACACCAATTCAATCGCCAAAATGTCAAATAAGAAAATAACAGTAAGATTGCTGACAACAGAAATGGATCGAAGCGTCAAACAGATGCTGAAGCTGATTGAAGAAGATGCAGATTCATTTGCAAAAAAGGCTGAGATGTATTATCAGAAGAGGCCGGAACTTGTATCTCATGTTGAGGAGTTCTACCGCATGTATCGTTCTTTGGCGGAGCGTTATGATCACCTGACGGGAGAATTAAGGAAGAACATACCGTTGGACCTCCAATCTCAGGGTTCTGGCATCTCTGACATTAGCTCTGATCTGCCCTCTATTTGGCCCTCCCCAGATATAAAGCGGAGTCGTCGTAAATCTGGCCCACGAGCTGCTGGTTTTGATGTCTTCCTTGGTTCTGGTGGGAGCAACTCTGATGTGTACCAGAAAGAAGGAGATGAATCATCTTCTCTAATAGATTCTGAATCAGAATCTGATGATTCCTCAGTTAATAATTACTCAGTTTTATTAGGGAATGGGGGTGATCAAGGGATGAGCAGGAAAATCGTTGAATTGGAGATTGAGCTCCGTGAAGCAAAAGAGAAGCTACAGATGCTAGAGGAAGAGAATATAGATGGTTCACTAAGAGGAGAAAGAAATGACAATTCTGATCTCCTTGCTAGAATCAGGGAGTATGAGGAAGAACTGAAAATTGCTAATAAAAGAATACAGCTCTCTGAAGAAAAAATCACTTCATTGAGGATTGAGCTCCAAAAATATAAACCACTGGAAACAGCTGACTCGGAATCATCATCAGAAGAAACTGTCAAGATGGACAAGACTGAGCAGATTGAGGTATATACTGGTGTATTGGAGAAAGAAAATCAACATGCAGATGGCAAGATGCAGGCACTGGTGGAAGAGTTGAGTATTACTAAAGAAATGCTCCAGGGTTCTGAGAAAGAAATTGCTAGTTTGAAGCTTGAGAAGAAGCAATCTTATGAAAAAATTCAAAATTTGCAAGGTCAGCTTGATTCGGCTCAAAGAGAGATAATCACATGGAAATCCAAACTGAATACAGAGAAAAGAGAGGTCTCCAAGCTGCAAGACAGAATTGCTATGTTAAAGAATAGTTTATCAGACAGGGATCATGAGATCCGGGATTTAAAGATAGCTGTTTCTGATGCTGAGCAGAAGATTTTTCCAGAAAAAGCTCATATCAAAGCTGAAATATCAAAATTGTTGGAGGAGCGGATTTGTTTAGAAGAACAGCTCAGAGAGTGGGAATCACGTGGCCGTTCCTTGGAGCAGGAGATCAGAAAAGCTGTGAATGAAAAAAGGGAATCAGAAGAGAGGCTTCACGGTGAAATTGAGCAGTTGAAACTGGAGATTGCTAAGAGAGGTGATTGCATTAAAATTTTAAATGAAAACCTTGAGACTTTAAAATCAGAGAGAGACAAGCTTAAGACCAAAATTGATTCACTCAAAGAAGAGGTTAGTTCTAAGGATGATCAAATTGTTCAAATGGACAAGCATTTGCACCAATTACATATGGAACACGTGAAGCTAATTGCTAGCGCTGAAGGAGCACATAAATTGGTGGAGAAATTGCAATCAAAAGCTAAGGAACTAGAGAACGAGATTGAGAGGCAAAGAATCACTATATTGGAGGGAGCAGAAGGAAAACGAGAAGCTATAAGGCAGCTTTGCTTCTCCCTTGAGCATTACAGAAATGGGTATCATAGTCTCCGGCAAGCATTTATGGGGCACAAGAGATTTCCAGCTTTGACAACATGAATTTGCAATGCTACATGACACTGTTTCCTTCTACTTGGTTGCTGAGTTCTTTTGTTTGGAGTGAGAGTCCCTAGATTATCTTACTATTGTCTGAAGGTGGCTTCGCTCATCTTCCGCTACTTGTTTAACGTGAATACGTAAAAACAGAAATTTGCATTTTAGACAGAATATAACACTTTTGCTCACAACATTAGCGCCTAGATGATGCTCTCTAATTATCCACGGATTATTGGGTTAAAGACTGTCAGGATTAATGAAGCACCTTCAAATTCTGGTTGTCGCTTGCCATGGTTTTACCTATGTGGCTGCATGGTGCCCATTGTGTCCGTTTATGGTGGCTAGAACTTGGTCTCAGTTTCGTCCTGTTTCTCTGAAATTCCGTTAATGTGAGTTTACTATCTTGTCTTGTTTGCATCAGCGGATTATCGGGCTCGATCGGCATATGCGTTGGTTTAAGCTTTTATTTTTGTATACTGCTTCTCAAATTTAAGCCATTGATCAATTATGTACTGAATCAAAATAAGTTCATAAAATATTTATGTTGGGGGAGAAAGTTAACTTTGATCGATATAGTACTCCATCTTATTTTACGTACCATCTATCATACCTTAGCTTATCTAGGAATATGAATTTCCCTCTGCTTTCCCAGAAATTGTTTGGTTATTCAAAGGATGTGTCCTTTTTCTCATATATTTACCTGATTTTGTTATGGAACTTAACAAAATTTATGTAAGAAATGCCGCCTAAATCATATTCAAATAAAAAATAATTTGTTAAGGTGTTGATATATATAAATTTTATATTTGGGCTCACATAGTAAGTAGCTTTCATGAAATGAATAAATTTAGTATTATTTTTCTTTGAAAATTTTAATTTACACTTAACTTTTTAATTTCTATCTATTAAATTCACTTTAAAAAAATTACATGCATAAGTCTTCGGAATTGGCAACTTTCAGAAGCCGCTCATCTCATCTTAGCTTGTGTTTAATTAATTAAATTAATAAGATTCTAAGAACTAATTACAAATTATACAATGCCTTTCTATTTTTTTTTCTTCTGATTCTTGGAGCACAGTTAATTATCAAATATAAATACAAGTGAATGGGTCTTCGCCAAGAAATCTACCCCTTGATTTTCGTTTAACCTCCTATAAATGTAGACCATTCCTTAGCCAACACTCTCTCAACAGCAAGGCAACTGTTGATTATTTTCGTTTCACTTTCTTCTTCAGAAGATCCATTTTTTTCTCCTTGTCAATCTCTTGATCAACAAAACCCACGTAAAAAGGTCTCCAAAGTAGAATCTCTTATCATTTATTTTATTTTCATTTCTCTTGCTTGTTTCATTGATACGACATGGATACCACCATTGGTTCTCAGCTTGATTCATGCAAACCTGCAAACAGCACACTAGGCTGCCCGCCCCAAAATGGTTCAGCTACAATCCAAGGCTCCCATGCTCCTTCAGCTGTCTCCTCAGATGCCATCCTAGGACGTCACCTGGCTCACCGGCTTGTCGAAATAGGGGTTGAAGATGTTTTTTCTGTGCCTGGTGACTTCAACCTGACACTTCTTGATCACCTAATTGCTGAGCCAGGGCTCACCAACATTGGCTGCTGCAATGAGCTCAACGCTGGCTATGCTGCTGATGGATACGCCAGGTCTCGTGGGGTGGGTGCATGTGTTGTCACGTTTACTGTTGGTGGCCTCAGCATTATCAACGCGATTGCTGGTGCTTACAGTGAGAATCTTCCTGTTATTTGCATTCTTGGAGGACCCAATACCAATGATTATGGAACTAATAGGATCCTCCATCATACCATCGGTTTAGCAGATTTTACCCAAGAGCTAAGGTGCTTCCAGACTGTTACTTGCTATCAGGTATAAGACATTCTTGAATTTGTTCAAGATTTTGGAAATTTCTATCTTCAAAACACGTCTCATTATGTTATATAGGTGCAATTAATTAATATTCTTTCCGGCTCAGATGGTCATTGATGCTTAAGTTTTAAAACAGTCAAATTGGATATTGCATTTTTTTAGTTTGGCACAAGTTGAATGGCTTTTTATGTACTAATCCGATCTTGTTGGTTTTGGGTTTAATTCTAGGCTGTGGTCAATCACTTGGAAGATGCGCATGAAGAGATTGATAGAGCTATTTCTACTGCTTTGAAGGAGAGTAAGCCTGTATACATCAGCATAAGTTGTAATTTGGCAGCAATTCCTCATCCAACTTTCAATAGAGAGCCGATTCCATTTTCTCTATCACCTAGGTAATGGTTTTTTTATTTTTTTATTCATGCAGTTAATAAAATGGTTTCTGATTTGCAGTTGTCTACTTTTTAGAAATAATACATCTATGGATACGTTTTGAATTTGTTGTTATAGGGTAAGCAATAAGATGGGTCTAGAAGTGGCTGTGGAGACAACTGCTGCCTTTTTGAATAAGGCAGTGAAGCCAGTCATGATAGGAGGGCCAAAACTCCGGGTAGCAAAGGCCTGTGAGGCCTTTGTTGAACTGGCTGATGCTTGTGGCTATCCGATTGCTGTCATGCCATCAGCAAAAGGATTAGTGCCAGAACACCACCCTCATTTCATTGGAACTTACTGGGGTAGTGTGGGCACAGCTTTCTGCGCTGAAATTGTGGAATCTGCTGATGCTTACTTATTTGCTGGACCAATTTTTAACGACTACAGCTCTGTTGGGTACTCTCTCCTCCTTAAGAAGGAGAAGGCCATTATTGTGCAGCCTGATCGTGTAGTTATTGCTAATGGACCGGCTTTTGGGTGTGTCCTAATGAAGGACTTTCTCCAAGCACTTGCAAAAAAGCTTAACCGCAACACAACAGCTTATGAAAACTACCAGCGTATATTCATTCCAGACGGTGTTCCTCTCAAATGTGACCCTCGAGAACCTCTGAGGGTCAATATCCTCTTTAATCATATACAAAAGATGCTTTCAAGTAACACAGCTGTGATTGCTGAGACAGGGGATTCTTGGTTTAACTGCCAAAAGCTGAAACTAACAGAAGGATGTGGGTATGTAAGAAATATTTTAGCAACCTAGCTAGTGTTTAATGCTTGTTTGACAAACATAAGAGAAAAAAAAGTTGGTGTTGCAGGTACCAATTTCAGATGCAGTACGGTTCAATTGGATGGTCTGTTGGAGCAACTCTTGGATATGCACAGTCCGTACCAGACAAGCGTGTGATAGCTTGCATTGGCGATGGAAGCTTCCAGGTTAGCGTGGATGTTTTAGCTGTTTAACGTGATTAATCATATAGTTTTGCATTTTTCTAACTTTTTTTTTCTAGTAATTTCCCTTTGCACAAAGACATGTAATGCTGATTCCGGATGTCATGTTAACATTGTTATTGGCAGATGACTGCACAAGATATATCAACAATGATACGATGCGGACAAAAGAATATCATATTCCTAATTAACAATGGTGGCTACACCATTGAAGTTGAGATCCATGATGGGCCTTATAATGTTATCAAGAATTGGAACTACACTGGATTAGTTGATTCAATTCACAATGGTGAAGGAAACTGCTGGACAAAAAAGGTTAGAATGTTTATTGGTTACATGCGCACTTAATTGCTGTACGACATTATGCAGAAACTGATATTCAGGACCTTGTTCTCTTCTGCCTTTCTAGGTTCGCTGTGAAGAGGAGCTCATTGAAGCGATTGAAATAGCCACAGGTGAGAAGAAAGATTGCTTGTGCTTCATAGAAGTCATTGTTCACAAGGATGACACGAGCAAGGAGCTGCTTGAGTGGGGATCCAGGGTCTCAGCAGCTAATAGCCGCCCGCCAAATCCTCAATAGAGAAACTGATCAGGATTTTTTATGAAGAGCGCGTTGCAGAGTTCCAAATTTATTATATTTAAAGTTTTGTTAGTTGTCAAGAAACTATATCTTAATAAGTGGATTGCAAGAATGTTCGAAGAGGGATTTTTGGATGTGCTATCCGTTTTCTTCTGATATTATGAAAGAATTCGAAGTTTCTTAATTTCTTTTAGTCTGCCTTTGAAGTTGGATCTGTTTGAATGGTTTTCACCGTTGGCTTAACATCGTCAGCTAGAAACAGATAAACAAAATTAGCATAACGAGTGATGACTGATAGATGCTGCTGTCATTAGTTTCGGTCAAGTCTTTCATTTAAAGTAAGAAATCCAAAATGGTAAAAGTAAGAAAAATCCTTGAATTTCAAGCGTTTAAAGATATTCGTGCATTGAAGGGAAAATTGAGAGGACATGTTGGAAAAGCAATCCAATAAAACCAATATATATGACATCTTTTGGTGTGTAATGCAAGTATTTCTACAGAGTGGTAATTTCTGGCAAAATATAGCATTGAGAAAGTAGAAGTAACTGAGTAGCCAGTCTTGGAAAGTTGATTCATATAAAATATCCTTGATAAGATGATGGAAAAATTCAGAATTATGCATATACATTGAAAAGAAAAGGCTTTAGAATCTTCTTCATGGGTTTCCTTCTAATTTTCCATCAGCTTTGTGTTATATAATTTATGTAATACTAATGATATATATATATCATTAGTATTACATAAATTCTTCCCAGTTCCACTTAATCCGTGACGGATTCTATATTCTGATTGGCTCATAGGCTAGGCTTGCTTCTAGACGGAATTATTCATGTTTGGGATTCCATCATCCTATGGTTGCATTGAGCAAACTGTCTCAATGAATATTATTAAATGATGAGTAGTCTTAAGTCTCGTATTCCCCTTGTTTCCCGGCGTATGCCACTGCTTTTTCTGCATTTTGTTCCCTCTCAGAGAGCTCAGCAAGGTTCCCTGGTCAGCAGGGAAATCATTTATGAGCTAAAGATGGCCATGGAAGCATGGACCCTGTGGAAATATGGGGCCTCCTAGGAAGCAAAGCTGACCTGTTTTCTTTGAAGTAGACCCTTAGGATGTCTTCTGCCAGCTACAGCCTCCAGGGTGTCCTTTTTCCCATCTTGAGAATGATTAAGAAATATAGCCTCTGAAAGATTAATCCCCAAGTTCTGCATCAAACTTCAAGTCTTTAAAAATCTTGCAGAAGAATGAAGAGATCATTGGGAGCACCTAAGAGCCTAGTTCACTCCTATATTCTTTACTGAAATCATAATATCGTGAGATCCTAACTCCCTGATTCAACCACCCCTGAAAACAAAATTTTGCCATTCACATATTTTCTTTTTTCCCAACCTGAATAATTAGCCATTAAATTGGTAATTGGTTACAATGGAATCAAATCACCTTTTCCATAGTGACGTAACAATAAGAACTTCATTCAACATTAGAAATTAAGCATGTCTCAGAATTCCTAGCAAAACCAAAGAAAGCTATGATCTTTCAGAATAAATTCTGATAGCCTCAACTTTTTCTAAAAGCAATATAGAGGCATGTGTATTATGTAACTAAAGGGCAAATATTATAGTAAATATGTAAAGGACAAAAGAAGAGAAAAATAAAGTAAAACTGGAGATGTTATTCTGGTAAGCTGTAATAATCAGTACTTTTTCTTTTTCTTTAATTTTGCACTGTCAGCATCCTTCAACCGTCCTTCACTCATCTTTCTTCTTTCTTTCTTTCTTTCTTTTTCTTACCCTTGATTCGCAAGCAAACTCCAGCAAATGCAATTCAATATAACAAGGAACTCTACAACAGTATAAAGAGATCTAACATATAGGGGCAACACAGATTGACCTACTGATTCTAACATTCCAGTCGGAGGCTAACAATTGGCTGGCAAAGGGTTGAAAGGGAAAGCGTCACAAAATGGCAGTTGGAAACTTGCCATCAGTCATGTCTCAAATCCTAGCTTTGGGCCTTTCTTCAGGAGATGAAATTTAAAACATGAACTAAACTGTTTGCCTAAAAATCCGCTTACCTAATAAACTATGCTGAAAAATCCTGGGAATTCTACTAGGATTCGAGAAACTGTTGCAATATAATCTGCAGGAATGTTAGTTAATTAAACAAAAGGAGTCTTAAGGTAAATTTGACCAGAATTTAATGGTGAACCTAATATGGCTGCCAAGTAAAACTACAATGCAGTAGCCACTTAATTTAGTGCCAGCAAGCTCAAGAAAATTTCTTTGCCACGATCCATATAGAAGTGAACATAATAAATCTCCATATCTGTTTAGCAAATGCCAAAAACAACCCTGGCTAGCTTCAAAATTGCAAATACCAGCACAGTAATGGGCATTTTGTAAATCACACCTCAGGCTTAGGTAAGCATACGTTGCTTCAAAAGTAAAGAGCACGAATAAAAGGAGAAAGATTCAGGAAATCAATATGCTCGAGCTCTTGCTGTCATCCTTTCGATGAAAGCGGAAAAAGAGAGGAAAATGCCACTTGAAGATGATGAATCAGAACTCTGTCTAATCACCCGCCTAAAGAAAGAACTCGAGGCTTCTCTGGCTAGAAATGGTTCACTGGAAAAAGAAAATGAGGAACTAAAACAGGAGGTAGCTCGTCTAAAAGCACAAATCAGCTCCCTCAAGGCACATGATAATGAGAGAAAATCTGTGCTCTGGAAGAAGTTGCATAACTCCATGGATAATTGTAATACGGACACATCTCCACAGAAATCATCAGATTTCATTAAAGTTCCGGAACAGAGTTTTGAAGCAGAAAATCTACATCCAAGGCCAAGCTTCCAGGAATTAGCTGTGAGAAAGGATAATCAATCAGAAGTATCAAAACCACCAACAAGGTCTAATTCTTTTTTTATCTCCCCTTCTCCAAAGGAAGTGAACGAGAAAGTTAAAGCGCCATCAGTACCAGCTCCACTACCTCCACCATTGCCATCAAAACTGTTAGCTGGCTCTAGATCAGTACGCCGTGTGCCAGAAGTTGTGGAGCTTTATCGTTCACTTACAAGGAAAGATGCCAACATGGAAAACAAAACCAACACTGCAGCAACTCCAGTACTTGCATTTACTAGGAACATGATAGGAGAAATCGAAAACCGCTCAACTTATGTTTCAGCTGTAAGTACACTAGCTTTTACTTCTAAATCAAAACCAACATTTTTTCTCCTAACAGTATGCCTGTTTGTTTGATGAACAGATAAAATCCGACGTTGAAAAACAAAAGGAGTTTATCAATTTCTTAATCTCAGAGGTTCAATCTGCAGCCTTTAAAGATATATCAGATGTAGAGGAATTTGTGAAATGGTTAGATAAGGAGTTGTCTTCCCTGGTTGATGAAAGGGCAGTTTTGAAACATTTCCCACAATGGCCAGAGAGAAAAGCAGATGCTTTGAGAGAAGCTGCTTTTAGCTACCGAGACCTAAAGAACCTTGAAGCTGAAGTCTCATCGTTTGAGGCCAATCCCAAAGAGTCTTTCAATTCAGAGCTACGAAGAATGCAAGCATTGCAGGAAAGGCGAGCATGTATAAACTGAATTACCATAACTTGCTATTTTCCAATCAATACTATAAACTAACTGCATGATGAAATATCAAATTTACAGGTTGGAGCAAAGTGTGAACAATATAGAAAGGATAAGGGAAAGCACCAGCAAAAGATACAGAGAATTCCAGATCCCATGGGAATGGATGTTGGATACAGGATTGATTGGTCAGGTAGGTAGATCCTAACATGATGGTTCAAAACAGTAAATTGAATTAAAAAAAAAAAAAAGGAAAAAAGAGGAACATTTTACCATTGTCCATATCTATATTCAACTATTAAGTGCATTTAAAGGGATTATCAATTAATGAAATTACCCTTCCTAACTCTGCTTGCAGATAAAATTTAGCTCATTGTGTCTAGCCAGGGAATACATGAAAAGAATAGCCAAAGAACTGCAATTCAACGAATCCTCACGAGAAAACAATCTCTTGCTTCAAGGGGTTCGCTTTGCATATAGAGTTCACCAGGTACCCTTCGAATCTCTCAACGAACTTATCTGTTTTTCCTTTAAAAAATTTATTCTTAAGCCATTACCAATCATTTTACAAATGCAGTTTGCAGGTGGTTTTGACGCAGAGACCCTTCGGGCATTCGAAGATTTAAAGAAGATTAGCAACATTCTTTATCATAAACAATAGCCTGTTCAAATGGAAATCTTCTGCTAAAATGGCTATGGTTTGTAATATTTGCAAGCAGCTTTATAGTTTACAAATAAATACAATTTGATTTCAAGTTCAATAGATATTTGAAGTAGAAATTTAAATGATTAAACCAACTGAAAATAGTAGCTTCACTGATATCAAGCAAAATGTACACAGAAAAAGGTACGATTACAACTTGGAATGCAATGCTCAAACAAAGTCGAGAAAAGTAAAAGATGGGCTAAAATCAAAGGGGAAATATATCAATTGAAGAAGAGGTTGGAGTGATCGGTAACAGCAGCTACTTAGATCTCTGCCTCATCTTTCTGCGCTTTCTCTTCAACCTCCTCATCCGCTTCTTCTTCCACTGCAAAACACGAATTAACCAAACGATTCTCAAGTTTTTCGATTTCGTTTTGATCGAAAATCAAATGGATATTAATAGAGCAGAGCTTACCTTGGCTCTCATGGCGTCGCTGCAAGAAAAATCCTATCCTTTTCAGTGTTATGGAATGCAGAGCATGCGATAGGATTCGGTGTACTGTTATTTGTAAATAAACCCTAATTCTAAGTGGGAGCGGGTTTGGAGTCAGCAGTTCAAGTAACCCGAATCTTTTTTTTATTTTAAATAAAACTGGTAATTTCCTTTTTAATTAAATAATAAGAAATTTTCTTTTTGCCAGAATAACAGGAAGATTAATTATTTTGAGATAAATATGAGAAATGAAATAATACTTTAAATTATTTAAAGTGGTGTGTGAGTTTTTTTTTTTTTTTAATTGTAATCATAGTGGTTAAAGTGACAAAATATTTTTGCGTCTCATGTGTGATTTTCATTGTTTTTACTCTAAATTGCATTTTGGTTTTTATAAGGCATTTGCAATGTTATCATTGAAATATTTAATATTAATATTATGAATAATCTTTAAATTATAGTAAAATATTTAATACAATATTTAAATTTTAAAAATTGTTAACTTGATATTTAAATTATTAATATATTAATTAATATGATTCACACTTTTAATGTAATTAATTTCAAATAATGACATGTATTAGATAAATAATTTTTTAAGCAATACATTAATTAATAGATTCATAATTTATATATTATATTAAAAATTTTTAAAATTTAGATACCATATTAAATATTTTATCATAATTAAAAACCATTCATAATATTAACTCAAATATTTATGTAAAAAGATTATGTTTAGGAAATATTTTGGTTACATTTTATTGATTTTTTAATTTTATATATTTTTTTTGTTTTCTATATCTTTAAACAAAAAAATAATAATAAAAGTTTAAATCAAACAAAGTTTAAATTAAATAAATGCACTATCTCAAATATTTAGCACAATGATTTATGTCACTTTTAAAGAAAAGTAATTGATGGATTAAAGAGAGAAAGTTTGATTAATGAAATAACTCATGTCTAAGATTGTATCATAAAATCAATAAAGCTTTGTTAGTCATAATTATCAAAACTATATTAGACCTTAATTAGTTCAGTACTCTTGGTTTGAAGTCAAATGGTTCAATCATCGTGTTATTTAGATCAATGTTAGGTAAATAAAAATATTTTAAAATAATATAAATAAAATTATATATTATATAAATATATTTTTAATTGTATAAATAAAAAATTATTATATAAAAATATTTTTTTATTATTAACAAAATTACAAACAAAGCTAAGTGTATAGAGATTTTTATCTTTGGTTTTTAAAATATCTTTTATTTTTATTTTTAATCTCTTTTAAGAAATATAATTTTTTAATAAAAAAATAAAAGAATCAATAATTAATATAAAAAAATTAGGTTAGATACAATTTTAAAATCATCCAAAAATTATATTTAATTAATCCGAATCAACAAAAAATAGATAAAGCAAAAGCTTTTCGTAAATCCGATAAATCAATACAAAATTTTTAAATTTATTCCAATCAAATATTGAACCAGTTCAAATTGAGGATCAAATCTTTGGATCGAGTAATTTGATTGGACTTACCCTAACTTAATTAACGATACCATTAATCAAAGCTATTTACCATATTTAAATCAAACTTAACCAAAAGAAAGCATGACACACTCCTCTTGAACATGCTGAATGGTTATTTGTGTTATTTAATTAAGATAACATTAGAGATATTTTTTAAATGATTATGATAATTAATTATTAATATAATCTTATTGTTAAAATAACATATGGAGTCATGAATAAAGTTTTCAATTATTATATTTAATAAAAATATTATTAATAAATAATATATTACTAATTGTAAAAAATGTCTTTAGTAAAACCCATAATTAATAGTATTTTTTTAAAACTACATAATAAAAAAAAAACTCTATATCGTGATAACTCTTAACAATTGTCTTAATATTTTATTTTTAATATAAGGCGCTGATCTATACTGTATTTAGTCTCAAGCTGATATTAGCAAGGAGAAAACACAAAAAGTACTATTATATTAGGAAAGAGGTCTACGAATATGACGTGGCAGACAATGATTGGTAGGAAAGAATTGACTGCAAATCTAATCGGCGCCTCCCTCACCCACCCTGAGGCGATAACTCCCAGGCAATGCAACTGTCCAACTATGCATTCCTGTTCCCATGACTTGAAGAAACAATATACACTCGCTATTATTTGTCGACACCTGTCAGTCTTCTTTAAGAAGTGCAGGTGTTAAATGGAGAAAGCGCGAGTAGCATATCACTTAAAAGCAAAGGGGTATCTAAGCCCTAAGGCCCAAACCAACCCCTGGCCCAGAAGTGGACAGTGGACATGCCGATCTCATCAAAGCCAAAAATTAAAAGAATAAAAAAGAGAAAAAAAAAAAAAAATCTCATCTCGTCTTATTCTTTTTTCGTCTTGCATCTCTAAAGGTTCTTTCTTATCCATCCAAACAGCGAAAGGAAAGAACAAAAACGAAGAATTTACCATTTTTCACTGTTTAACTCGACCAAGAGGAATCACAATGGAAGCAGCTGAACCAAGAAGAATAATTTAATAATTTAATAATTTAATATTGTTTTAGAGAAGAGGATAACGAAAAGGAGGGGAAAAGATTGGATGGGGACGGGAGCATCGAGGAACGCAGAGGGAGGGTCGCATGGAGGGGAAGAAAGAGAGGAGAGCCTTGACCAAGCTGGCGGTCAACTTTACGTTTCGTTGAAGATGGAGAATTACAAGAAGAAAGGAGACCTTATTCCTCATGTTTATGGCTCCGTTCCTATCGTTGGCTCTTGGGATTCCTCTAAAGCTGTATTTTTTTTCCTCTCTCTCTCTCTCTTTATTCTCTTTATTTCGAATTAAATTTTCCATATATATATTTAATTTTCTAATTTAATTTTTGAATGTTAATAGCTTTCAATGGAGCGTGAATCGGCTTCAATGTGGGAATTGAGCTTTGTTGTTCCTCCTAATCACGGTAAAGTGTGCTAGTTTTGACACTCTTTTTGTTTTCCATTTTGGTTATGTTTTGTTTGGTTGCTGAGAAAACTGATAGAATATTAGCGTTAGGGGGAATTAGAGCATCGTTTAACTCACCATTTGGTTCAATTCAACTTTTTGCTAAGGCTGAATAAATTCTTGCTCTCTTGAATGAATACATTCTAGTGTACTATGCCTCCTTAAGTTTTTCAGAATTGGGTTTCCAAAGGTAGATATTACTGTATTGGCTTGGTTGGGTTTTGTGATGTAAAATTTTTAGGCTCTGTTTGGTTTCCACTTTTGCTACTTTCTGTTTACTTTTTGTTTGATTCAAAAATAGAAGCTAAAGTGAATCTTAGCATTTTATTGGCAAATGATTCATTCAACTTCAGGTTCGTGGAAGTTTATATTTATTTGTGTGTTTTACCCATTTAAATGTAGAAACTTTGGATTTCAAGTTCCTCTTGAAGCCTAAATATGGCTATGCTCCTTGTATTGTTGAGGAGGGCCCAAATCGGCTCCTCACTGGGGGTACCTTACAAGGGGATGCAAGGCTGGCACTATTTAGGCTAGATAATGAGGAGGTTCTTGAGTATCGGGTGTTCATTAAGGCTGACAGGGTTTCGCCGTTTGACCTTGCGGCTAGTTGGAGAGCTTATCAAGACAATCTCCGGCCTTCAACTGTTCGTGGAATTCCTGATGTCAGCATCAATGCAGTGCCAGAGGCAGGTCTGGAGGTATGACCTATTTGCCCCCTGCTTTTTTTTAAAAAAAAATCTTTTATTTTTAAGAGACATGCTATTGGATCTGTGGTTATGTATTGAAATGACAGTCCCCTGTGTAAATTATTTATTATGAATCATTGTTCCAAATTGAAAAGACCATCTCTTGTGTAAATTATTTATTGTGAATCATTGTTCCAAACTTCCAAAATGGTTGTTATTTATTTCAAGATAAAACTTACTGTGTTTGTTGCACTGAATAGCTCTTCAGCTAGATTGGAGCTTTACCTTGATTATTGAGTATTATGTTTGTTAATGTACTTGGACATAAAAATTTCTGTGTTTTATTGTTTAGAATGGCTCTGCGGCCAGTTTGGAGCTTGACCTTGAGCATTATGTTGTGCCTGCTCCGTCCACTTCTGCGAACTCAGGTCTGGTTTATGCAGCCAACCTGGCAGAAACTCCACGGTCACTAGCCCTCACCGGCGTTTCTGTTGATCGACCTGCAACTTTAAAGGTTTATCTTGGTAACTCATCGTGCAAATGTGTAAACTAGATTGTGTTATGCGCCTTGAAAAGGATTATTTACACATTATCAGTTTAAGGATATTAATACACAATTTTCTGGTATTCCATGCTGTCTAATTTTTAGAAACATATTGCTTAATGCACCTGAATCTTAATTCTAAATGTAATGACAAACATAAGAGGTAAATGCATTGATATATTAAGAAGAAAATTGTTGCTCTCATTCCACCATAGATGGCTCACTTACTAGTAACTAGGCAGAAAAATTATTTCAAAAGTTACCTTGTTATTTATTTTTATAGTAGTTTGCATCTAATGCAATGTACTTACTATTTCATAGGAGATGGAGGTTGTCTCTGGGATGGTTGAATCAAAATCTGTGGTGACCATTTCACCTTTGCAAAAGCAAGATAGTCACAGGGGGCTCTTTGTGGACAGGGGTGTTGGATCTCCCAGGCTGGTCAAATCCATGAGTGCAACTACTTTTACTTTTGATCTTAAATTGGACTCTGAAACCAAGGTTTGGATGAAATATATTTCCTCATCCTAGTAAAGTATGACTTGTTCTCTCTGCAGGTGGTATTCTTATATTTATTTCTTTTTCTTTGATTTTTAGAATTCGATGCCAGCAGCTGCTGGAGCTGTTGCAGCTGCAGCTGTAGCTGATCAGATGCTTGGACCAAAGGAGGATAGACATCTAGCAATTGTCCTGGTATTCTTCTTCATAAGTAATTGGTCAGCATGTTAGATTTCATAGTCTTTCTCCAACTTTACCATAATTTAGTTGTCAAATTGGTGAGATTTAGACTTAAAAATTTGACCTTCTTCATATTCTAGAACTATCACCATTCAACATGTTTGAAGAAGAATCAATTCAATTTGTTAAGAATAGGTGGTTCTAATTAGTTGCTTGACTGTCAGGTTGGTTTGCCAGCTCGAGGAAAGACCTTTACTGCTGCTAAACTTACAAGATATCTTCGCTGGTTGGGACATGATACTAAGCATTTTAATGTTGGGAAGGTTCTTGCGCTTTACCTTGAATGCCCTTTTTGCTTTCTGACATTTTAAATGAAAGAAGAATAACTTGATTTTTTTTTGTCGATAACAGTACCGGCGGCTCAAACATGGTACAAACCAGGTAAACCTGAACCCCTTTGTTTGAGTTTATCAACTGGGAGCTTCTTATGTGATGCTGTCAGTAAAATTTTATGCCGGTTGCTTTGCAGTTTAACAAACTCACTTGATAAAGACTTACTTTCTGTTGGCTTTATCTAATAAATTGATAACTAAAATAGAATATTGCACAAGTTATTTGTATGTTTCTGGAATGATTTTTGATTGGTGATGCACCCTTTAATGCAGACTGCTGACTTTTTCCGAGCAGACAATCCTGAAGGCGTGGAGGCACGTAATGAGGTGAGGGTCCACAGAAGAGACTTGTCCTTATTTGACTTTCAGAATTGAGTGGTTTGTTTCAACTGGCCAAATTGATGCCATTTATGTCAGTGGTTTAATTAATGGTTTATATGGACTAAATGAATATTTAATTTCTTAGTGTTGCTGAATCTAGAAATTCCTCATATTTGGTTTTAAATTGGGGGGCAATTTTGATTATTAATGTTCTGTAAAAGATTGTAGATTTGGAATTGGATTTTTTTTTCATGAGCAAGTTTAGTCATTAAACTCTTTGAAGAAACATTCTATGGCAGCTAAGTAGAATCTGAATATGTTTTTCCTTTTATATTGAATAAAAAATACTCCTAACTTGTCTTGAAGTTACTTAAATGAAATAAATGTAGGCAATACCACAAGAATAAAAATCACTAGGTAAAGAAATATTGGAGGTGGTTTTGAAGCAATTGCATGATTCAAAGCAATTTCTGGATATAATTCACTAAATGCAACATGATTTAATTTCCTTTTCTATTAAACACTGGGTTTCATCCCTTAAATTGTGAAATTGCCTTTGTCAAAGATGCTGTTACTAATGAATTTGGTTTTTATTTGGATGATTGGTTAATAGTAACCCCATATTAACCTTCTTTTTTGTACATAGTTTTAATATATCACGTGCTACTAGGTAGCAGCCTTGGCAATGGATGATATGATAGCTTGGATGCAAGAAGGTGGCCAGGTAAGTTCTTTGATATGTGACAATTGTTTTCTCCCTTGTTCTGCTGACTAATTGTTTTTATTAAATCCCTTCTAAATGTAGGTTGGAATCTTTGATGCAACTAACAGTAGCAGGAGTAGACGGAATATGTTGATGAAAATGGCTGAAGGAAAATGTAAGGTACTGTGATTACAGAAAAGAACCAGCTAACTGTATCCTTAGTAGAACTGATATTGTTGTTGGATGAAGCATGTATGATATGTTGCAGATGAAAAGAAAAATGATTATATTCATAGGGCAGGATTCATTGCTTTTGGGGTTACTTGGGGAAATATACTCGATGTATTTATGTGGCTTGGCACAAATATTTGGGACAGTGAATTAATGCATTTTAATTAGGCTGGTTAGAACTGCATACACCGCCTGATGGGGGATGCTTGTATTGTGAGTGACTCTTGATCCTGTATATGCTGTTTTATTGGAGGCATGATTAACAGATGTAAATGTGATGTATTGGCTGATGGTATCAGTTGAAATATGAAGATTTATCTAGAGTATGATATGTCTAGTTTTGAATTCTAATACATTTTTCTTGCTTTTGATTGTAGATTATTTTTCTAGAATCGATATGCAATGATGAACGGATTATTGAAAGAAACATTCGCCTTAAAATTCAACAAAGCCCTGACTATGCAGAAGAGTGAGGCTCTTCTCAATAACTTTTTGCTTCTTGGTCTGATGAAAACTTCTGTACTTAAGTTATCAATCTGGTTTTGCAGGCCAGATTTTGATGCTGGATTACGAGACTTTAGAAATCGATTAGCTAATTATGAAAGGGTAGTTCCTGAAATTGCTTCTTGTAGTTGTTCTTTGTAAACATTTATGCTTTTGGATGCTTACTATCATGCTAAGGTGCACAATTATGCTTCTTGTTACTAGGTTTATGAACCAGTTGAAGAAGGGTCTTACATCAAAATGATTGATATGGCTAGTGGGCATGGTGGACAAATACAAGTTAAGTTTAATTCTTCTTCTTCTTCATTTATATTTACATTGTGCTTCATGCATATGCCTGTGGGATCAATGTTTATTGTTGGCGTAAAAATGGTGTATTTAGTCCCTTTCTTGTTGTAGAACTAGTTGAAACTAGTTTGCGTATTTGGTCCTGTCTTGTTTGCATTGCCAATATGTGGAGAAGTTTGCCATTATGAATGGCATTGTTGTTCTTAAAGTCTTTCTAGCATATCTGTTGTTTCTTCTTTCCTGAAAGTCTCTATTGTTTTAGTCCCTTTCTTGTTGTAGATTTAATTGAAAGTAGTTTGTGTATTTGGTCCTGTCTTGTTTGCATTGCCAATATGTGGAGAAGTTTGCCATTATGAATGGCATTGTTGTTCTTAAAGTCTTTCTAGCATATCTGTTGTTTCTTCTTTCCTGAAAGTCTCTATTGTTATATGTTTACCTCTTCTCATTTTGAAATTTCTAAGATAGTCCAATTGCTTTACAATTTGATCTAAGAATTTTATATGTTTTAACTTGATTCAGGTAAACAACATCAGCGGCTATCTTCCTGGACGAATTGTCTTTTTTTTGGTATGTTGTAAAATAAGAAATGTGCTCCAATTATATCGTCGGGCAACAGCATTATCAACTATAGTTATTAAGTCCCTTTTCTCAGTTCCTCCTCTTTGTTATATTGGATTCAAAACTTCTTGGGGTGAAGGAACTAGAGCTCTTATGAATTGGAGCTTTAAAAACTTTGGAAGTGTCTCTTTCCTACATCTATCTCAAGTGTTCTTTTTTCTTCTTGATAATGCTTAAATCATGAGTAACATATCAAGTCATGGTGGAATTGTATTGACAACATTAGGCACCTGCATTTTGTCTTGCTTGTGTTGCAAGACATGGAAGGCACCTTTTGACCTTTGTGATTTGTACATGAATCTCTTTTGAAGATTACTCATGTCACAAGTGTCCATTTTCTCTAGGGACATATCTGAACCTTAAATGCTTTCTGAGCATTTACCATTTTCAGTACTGGTCCTTGAATTAATGTTTACATTTACTTCTCTCATATTACCATTTGCAGGTTAATACGCATCTCACCCCTCGCCCGATATTCCTTACCAGGCATGGGGAGAGTTGTGATAATGTTAGAGGCAGAATTGGTGGTGACAGTGTATTAAGGTAGCCTTTTATACTGATTGTAATGGCATTATATAATAAGTGGTTTCAATTTGTATTCTGTATATTTGTTTTAGTCTTCTGTGGATTAATTTTTTTGGCAGACATATGCTTATGTTAATCAATTTTTGGTTAAATTCCCTGTCATGAGAGAAATCCTCATGTCTTTGATATTATGTTTCTGATTTCAACGTGAATGTTGGTTCAACATAAGTTGTTGTACTCCAGTTTTAACTTTCCAGAGAATTTTGCTTCCTATTACTACAGTGATACTGGAGAAATTTATGCAAAGAAACTCGCAAACTTTGTTGAGAAGCGACTGAAATCTGAAAGGGCTGCTTCTGTAAGTTCGAACATTTCTCATGGTCAATGTTTAATTGTTTATATTTATACCCCAAGCAAGTTTATCACTTTTAGAATTCAATGCTTTTAAACTGGCCCCTTCTTCCCACTTATTTGTCCCGGTCTTTCTTCACTTTTAGAAGCCTGCTTTTATGTACTTAAGTAGTGGAGTTATCTGCCTATTAGCTGTTATTTCTTTTTCTTGAGATAGCAGCACTTGCTAAATTATTGTTCTAAATTCAAGAAAAGAAAATACTGCCAAACTGTAGATCAATTAGTAATTGTATCTCAAAGATCTGGATTTTGTCTTCATGGTTTGAAGATGTGAAATTGTATGGATGTTATATGTTTTGCAGCGTTGCCCTCAATACTTAAAAAGGTGCAGACTCATTGACATGTCATAAGAACTATAATGAAGTATGTACAGAAAAATGGAAATCTATAACCATTATAATTGAGTATACAATTTTTGTGATTTTGTTGTAATCTAGATATGGACCAGCACCCTGCAGCGAACAATTCTGACAGCAAGTCCAATTGTTGGATTTCCCAAGGTTAGTGTGAAACCATAGAAAAATAAGTAACTTATTCAGTCCCTTTGTTCACATTCCAGCCATCTGGCAGCTGAAGTAAATATATATTTGTATGCTAATAGTGATATTATTCTTCGCACTTTTGTTAGATACAATGGCGTGCACTTGATGAGATTAACGCTGGAGTATGTGATGGAATGACTTATGAAGAAATAAAGAAGAATATGCCAGAGGAGTTTGAGTAAGTGTTCCCCTTATCATCCTCCTGCTACTTCTCTTCTCGTGGGTTGAGAAAGTTGAATGCGCAAAAGTCTTGTATTTAATGGTGTTAATAAGCTTTTCTGATTATTGGCCTTCTAAAATGGTGCTATATGGCAGAACTTGTGTTGGATCAGAAAAGCATGTACTGATCTTATTTTTTTCCTTCCCTTTATTGTTCTTTACTGCAGTTTTAGATAATTATATCTTATTATTATTATAGATCTAGACAGAAAGACAAGTTGAGATATCGTTATCCTCGTGGAGAATCTTATCTGGATGTTATTCAAAGGTTTAGAGTTTCTCAACATGCTGAATTTTTTACTTGTTTGTAAAGAATATTTTAGAGTCTAACTTATGAGATAGAATTCACTTTCCACACTAATGCAGGCTTGAACCTGTAATTATTGAGCTTGAGCGACAAAGAGCACCAGTTGTAGTGATAGCTCACCAGGTTATATTTAACAGCAAAAACTTGTGCTTTATATAATTTCTGATTCTGATGTTGTGGTTGTATACATCTTGAATGATTTGTAAGTGGTTTCATTTTGCAGGCTGTGTTGAGAGCATTATATGCTTATTTCGCTGATAGGCCTCTCAAAGAAATTCCTCACATTGAGGTAACTAATAGACAAGTTGAAATTGGTGTGTCTTGACATATTTGTTCTTGCGGGTGACCATGATCTATTGTTTCTTTTTCTGTGCTTTCTGCATGTGAGATGCATTTTTTCGAAAAGGAGAAAAAGATGATACTCCCTCCTGTCTTCTTTTACGGTGCATCGATAGAACTTCATCTCTGATCCACTAAAATGGAAAGATAAAGTTCATATGCAAGTTTCATAGAATCATTACTATGATTTTTACCATGGGATAGAGTGCCCATGGTTGGTATCAGCGAGGGGTGACCTTTTAAGCGCATTTCCTCTCTTTTTGTAAACAAATCATGCATTCTTTTTTTTTTTTCCCTCACATCTTTCCCATTCCCTCCAAACAGTGTTAGGCTTTTCTTGATTTTCCTGTAATCGAATGGAAAAGCTAAAAAAGCTAGGATGAATTATTAGAGTTTTGCCTTTCTGAGTATAAAATTAAACATTAATTATACATGTTCCAATTTGCAGGTGCCACTTCATACAATTATAGAAATACAAATGGGTGTAACAGGCGTTCAGGAGAAAAGATATAAACTCATGGATTGAACGCACTTTAAGAAATTTGTTTTTCTTGATATTGGATTGCCCAAATATTAAGATGAAATTTTCATTCATTTTATTTCAATTCTTTGTCAAAATGTAACATTAGCAATAATGTAACTGTCATAACAAATTAACTATAACTAATAGTAAAATATGTAAGTTCTTCTTTTAACAATTTCATAAAATGTCTAATGACTCATCATCTGCATAAAATGTGACTAATTTTCTATATGAAGATTATTCTAACATGAAAATATGTTTGATATATATGCCATGCCGAATTAAGGGAATGTGAGGAATTCGATTGAGTTGGTAATTTTGATTGTTTTGTTTGTAAGGGTCAAGTTCAAATCTTATAATCAGCTGTTTTTTTATGGACTGTCAATAAATTTAATGTAAATTTCCTCTTAGGCTTGTAGTATATTTTGACCGTAGATTGGGAACGCTCCTCACTCTATAACTTTTTCTAAGAAATTTATTTAGATAAATTTTTATATTTTTATTGTATTTAAGTAAGTTATTATTTTTTATTTGTATTTATGTATATTTTTATTTCAAATAAAAGATTGATTTATGTTAAAAAAATTTTTGAAAATAAGTAAAGTTTAAGAGATTATTTTAGTGTAAAATAAAAATTAAAGATTTATTTGAACATAATAAAAATATATAACTTTTATTTTTATACAGTGATAAATCTAAGAGCTTTTTTTATTATTATTTTAGCCAAAACTAATCGAGGAATCCACCGCGTTGCAGCCTCGCAGCAATGGTACGTAGGCGAGGGTTTGGGCCAAGGAAGTCACGAGCCTACTGGCACAAAAGTTCGATAACTTACCCGAAATGATGCAGCAAAAAGAGGTGGAAGCTGAGCAAGTCATCGTTTCTATCAGTGGACTTGAGGTTATGGAGTCAAAAAGGAAGCTCTGTCTGGTTGGAATCACATGGGATCCCTGAACCAAAAAGAACCCCTCGCCCTCAGTTGTGTTCGGTGACCCTACTTTTCTTGCCCTTCCAATTATGTAGCAGAAAAGACACAAAAAGAAGTGGAATTGCAAGTAATGTGATTAAATTAAAAGTCACAAAAGATTTGTTTTAGGCATTGGGATCCCTAAAACAGTCACATGAATCCGATAAGGCGATAACCCATTCCTCAGCTGCCGTCGCCTTCACGAGTCCTTCATTTCAAACATTTTTCTCCCCTATGTACGACTCTCATTTGCCCCTTGGATTATGGGATTCTCTTTTGACTTGGTTGTTACACTAATTTATGTGAATATATACATTATTACTTTAAAAAGGAGAGAAAGAAAGAGAGCTGGTCTCGCTGACTAACGCACTCAAATGTTTAAGGGCAGAATTTCCACAATTTAGGCTTGGTTTGGATCTTTAGTGAGGTGCAGTAGTTAGCAATAAGAAAGTTATTTTTATTTTCAAATACATAGTCAATGAAGTGAGATTGAATCAAATCTACCGCGTCATACCTTCAATTTGTCTTTGGATTAGGTCCGATTAAAAATTTTTCTTCCAATCGCAACTTTATCTTTTAGTTTTACCCATGCTTTTTTTTTTTTTTAACCCTTATATATTGCAGGGAGTTTTTGTCACTTGCTCTTCTCTTTGATTTTTTAATTAAAAAATTTTAAATAACTTTGTTAATTCAATATAATAAATAAATTTTATTATAATAAATAAATAAATAAATATCTTCATAATTAAATACTTAATTAAAATAAGTAATTACATAAATAATAAAATAAATAAACATTATTAATTTTTAAATTAGTATGAATAAATAACTTTAATCTAAATTATTATATTTAAACTTTAAATAAATTTATTATGCTTAAATTTTAATTTAATATCTTTAATAATTATTTTTTTACTACATTTTATCTCAATCATTATTGTTACTTTTACAACCAAATATATATATATATATATATAACTTTTAATTTTAATTTTATCATTACAATAATCAATTTTATTATTAAATAATCAATTTTATCGAAATCACTTTTATTGGTTATTTAAGTAGGCCCTTAATCCCCGAATAAAACAACTTGACTTCCACGTAAGTATTTCCTAATATATAGAAGATTCCATTGATTTCTTTTTCTTCTTGTTCAGCCATTAATGACCATATAACTTCCATCGCACCAAAAACCTCTCCATCTCTATCACATTCACATCTCTTATCTTTACTACACCAAATTCAACCTTGCACGGTTGCTCTCATCCTGAAAATGTCAGTTTCGGTTGACTCTCCAGAACACAGCATAAACCCATTTTCTCATCTCCTCAACAGCATTTCCTCCTATGATGGCAATGTAATGCTTGCTGCGGTCATATCTTTGCTTCTTGTCATCCTTTTTGTGCTGCTTCTCCATGTCTACGCCAAATGGTTCTTGGCTCAAGCTCGCCAAAGAAGTCGATCTTCTTCCATGTCTGTATCTCACGTCTTCCGCCCTGATCGGTTCCACCATTTCCATGCATCCGCTTTTGAAACTACCTTTACGAGCTCCTCATCAAAGGGCCTCGATTCGTCCGTCATTTCATCCATTCCATTGTTTGTTTACAAAATGGATGAATACAAGCATGGTTTAGAGTGTGTTATTTGTTTAAGCGCATTTGATGACAACGATGTTGGTAGAAATTTACCTAAGTGTGGGCATGGTTTTCATGTGGAGTGCATTGACATGTGGCTGCAGTCTCACTCAAATTGCCCTATTTGCAGAACTCCTGTGTTGGATAATGATAAGGTTTCAGTTGTTATTTCAGCAGATTCTCAAGTGAGTTCTAATCCGGAGAGCATGGGAGAATTATTGAACGGTGAGGTTGGAATGATTGATGGAAACTCTAGATTGGACAATCTGACAGATTTATCCGACACTGATAATAATCGACAAATTGCGGCTGCCAATGATGATAATCGTTCAGCATCCTCTTCTTCTTTGACTACTCTGTCATCTTCCCTGGGTTGCTCTTTGAAGAGAATGTTGAGTAGGAACAGATCAGAGCGCAAAGTTTTCCCCTCATCCAGCGCCAGTGAGCTTGAGGTTTGAGAAAGACAAAAGAGTGTTCTTTCCCTGGTAATTTTCATACCAGCACTTTGTAGACAGCTTTGTATAGATTTCTTGGGAACTTGTTATCATCTTTCTCCGACTTCTCATTGGGCCAGGTGATTAAAACTATAATTTTAGTTCATTTCATTTATTACAAGCTTTTTATTAGGCATTAATCATTTGCTGGTTTAATTATAAGTTTGACTTATCAATTCCTTGTCTGACGTGAGAAATTTTTCTTGGTCATGATATTGATCCAAATGTACAACCAGTCCATAACCTCCATCACACATTCACACTAGTTCCTCGACTAGACGATCTGACTGGTAAATTTACCAAGAATGAAGAAACAACAGTTTAGTAAATTTTGTGTAATTACAGTCTTCTTCTTTAAACCTCTCATTTTTCACTACTTGTAAAATTAGATGGTATTAAGGATTTCATGTGCAGGCATTAAATCTTAACTATAAAATCAATACTTTTACGGTTAAAAACTCTGAAAACTTTTTTTTTTAAAGAGAGATAATGAGATGGAGCATGTAAATGAACACATTAATCTGGACTGAGCAGTAGCTGCTTTTTGGTTGCTACAAAGTGATATAATTGATGACCAAAATGTGGGTCTCGAAAGTCTATGATTGTCTGAATGCAATTGGGGACATTGTTGAGTTGAGGACAGAAGTCTTGGTACGCTCTTCCTTGCTTTCTGGTCATTGTTGTTGTGCCTTATCAACCAATCATGTTAGGTGAGGACAAAAGTCTTGGCTGCCTTTTGGTTGATACAAAATGGTCAAACAACTGCAACACATATTTACTAGCAATCCTTGCTTGCATCAGGTTCAGGCCCATTAAATTCACTTCATTGTCCTCCGCGCTACTGCTATCTCGACTTTAGCAATGCTTGAAAGTTGAAATAATGAAATTTTTTAGCATGAAAGTCAATTTTTTTTGGTTTGGCTGTACCAAATGCAAACATGTCAAGAATTGTTTCAAGCTAATTAAAAATCCCAACGCAAAAATCTAAGCATATGACATTGTTGGATATATTTGGAGGGTCCGTCCATAATGGGAACCCGATCCATATTAATCCAACATAACTGGCCAAGGCAGTTCCCACCCTCGCCATAAACGATCAAAACTCAAATGATACTCTCTTCATTATTTGGAGAATTCAGGCTCTAGCCTGTGAAAATTATTCGTGATGGATCTTGTTCTAGACGGGTGAATCGAACCAATACGTTTTACACTTCAATCAAATAAATGTATATTTAATTCTTTATGACAATTTCTTTCGCACATGCATGCGTGCAGAATCCTGTAAAACATTTTTCTGATGGAGTATCCAGACAATGGAGTCAGCTGCAGTTTGCAAGACTATTGCATTATTTTACATTTTTGCATCAAAGCATCCGCTTCAGAGTCTAATTTGGTGCAGCAGAGCAGCGTCCTTAATTGCAGTAACTGAAAGACAAACATCACCATCACGGTCAATTTTGTTTGTCTTTGTGCTCTTTTTTATGGTCAGAATAGGGGAAGCACCTTGCATTGAAACAAAAACATATTAGGCCTATCTGGCCCAACATTACATGTTTAAGGAACGCTGGATTTCTGTCATTACGCATGCTTTAATTTATCATTACTTGGATTTGCAGTGGGTTTACGAGGCATCTAAATCTGTAATCATCAAGAAGTGCACTTAGTGACCAAAGAGAGAATTCAGAGTCTTGTCTTGAAACCAAATTAACCCTCAAGAGATATATAAAAGCACGGAGATTTGGTTGATCTTTTTCAGTAGCTTCCCTCCGGATAGAGAATAAGAATAAAACCCCTTGCTATATTTTTTTTTGTATAGATCACTAAAATATGGGCTCTGAGGTCTGGTTAATTAATTGACACAGGTGCCTGGGATCCGTCAAGCTGTTCCTTGTCATAGGAATAGAAAAAAAAAAAAAAAAAAAAACTCCTATTTACAAGCTTCCCTGTTTGGAGATCAACGCAGGTTATAGTATCCTGATATTTTCCATAAAGGATAAGAAAAGATTGATAAACTGCAATATTATTGTTCCATCTAAATTTCCATGATATACTATCTACATGTTTATTTGCAAAATTAAGTCTCCTCACTCCTGTAGGAGGAAAAATCATCTATTAATTATGTGACTTTGAATTTGATCTTCTAAATTTTCAATATAAGAAATGCATGCGTACAAATATCTTTCAAGTGGAACCTCAATCGTTTTATAACTTACTAATTAAATCCCTATTTAAATTTGATAAAGAAATAACGTTGGTTTAAGCCTTTAAGATTGATGGGCATATTTACAATAATTAGACAAAAACTAACTCATTAAAGATTGAAAAAAAAAAAAGCTCAATAAAATTTTCTGATTATGAATTTAGTAGCATTGCACTCATATCTCAACCATGCATGCATGCATGTATGCATGTATAATTCACTTTACTTTTCTTAGTGGAATCATAGCTAGCAAATCAAAGAAGTTTGTAAAGTGCAAAGTGGATTACACGTCTCTCCCATGTACCAATTCTGACCTATTGTATTCGATTAGGACTCTTTCATATACACATATTAACAAATCGTGTGTGTGAAAAGATTCCACACCTCAAAAAGCACTTTCAATCGCTATTGTATATTGGCACTTGATAAAGTCCTTTACTCTTTTTAATGATCATAATTTAATTTCTAATAACTTCAAAAAAAAAAAAAAAAAGGCACTCTCAGTCCCTCACCTCTTGCTCGACAAGATTATTAAACGCAATCGTGAGAAATTGTTTGCAGTTAATTATATATATTCTAAATGCAAAACTATAGATGACAGACAATATGACATGTGGATTCGTCATATGATGATATGGAATTTACTTTCAAGATACAAGGTAAGCATAAAACCTTCAAGCCCAAAGTGCAAGGATAGACATAGAAGTAGAGCCAAGAGCTAGGGCAATGAAGGAAGCCTTCTTCAACCACGTTTGTGAACCCATCAATTTGTTATGGAAGAAATCGACGGCAATGAGATCAACCAAAGCCATGTAAATGAGAATACCCGATGAAAGCGAACCCAACAGACCTTCCATTATCAAGGCACTAGGGCTACTGTCGTCGTATCCCGTTACTGAAAATACTATCATTCCCAACACTATTCCCATTGGGGTCGTCACTGAAAACATAAAGCACATGTATACCACTGTTCCCATGCTGAAACCGGCCTGAAATCATTCACATATCACATTCCTCATAGCATCAAGTAATAATATGCATAATAACTTCTTCTTGCTTTATTAGTGTTTTCCCATATTTTATTTCCTTTATTAATTGGCCATCTTGAAGTACACCAATACTATTAACTATTAATCCCGTTTGTGAGGTTTCTAAAATAATTCACCGGTAGTTTGTTAACTAATACCTTAAGTTTACTCATAAAAATATAATTTACAAAAAAATTTATATTTGATATACTATCAGTATATATTTTAAATACACTGTCAGTAAATCAGATGATGATAACTAATTAATAAATAAATATCAATTCTTAAAATAAATATACATAAATTAAAATAATTTATTCATTAATGACATGTTATTATCTGATTCATTTCATTAATAAATTATCATTATTTGATTCACTGATAATATATAAAATCGCGTAAAAAAATCGATTGTAATTTGATGATTTCAAATTCCTTTTAAGTCGAACGTGGATAAAATGCAAGCAAATCAATTTGAACAAGTAAAAAAATATCGAGTAATTGAAGTAGAAAGTTACCTCAAATTTTGAAAATTGTTGTCATCGTCGAAATCCTCTTTTGTATTTAGATTTTAGGCTGTTATATTCTTATCTTGCAGGCATGTATATCATGATAAATGTGATAATTAAAAAAATATATTTGTAAGGTAACATTGAATCATATCTTTTAAGATATATTTAAAAAATTAAAAAAATAAAAAATATATCAATATTTTAATTCCATTTATAAAATTAACAAATTCCAGTAACCATATATTAAATAATAATAATAATTTGAAAATACTAGTATGCACTTGCTACAATTTTTTTTCTTAAATTTTAATTAATGAAAGGACTTGTGCATGGTGTAAAAGACAACCGACCTAGAAAGCTACAACTGAGACTGCCTTTGCGTCAAGATTCTGACCCCACACGCTACCCTTTTAATTTTCAGCCGTCAGATTAATCAACGAGGAAGTCGAAACTTTCTCATTACTATTTAGTACCTAAGACTATTCTGTAAAGACTTGCCCTAAATAATTTTAGGGCCAGGAATCTGCTAATCCCATTCCTATATAATAAGCTATAAAATTCCTATAAAATTTCTAAAACTTCTACTTGGAATATCCCATCAAGCCAGTGTCAATGATAATCAATAATCAAAATAGTAACTCTTAGAGTAGGCCAGCCCATCGTAACCAAGAAATCCCCAAATCTATCAAAAAAATAATGATCCTCAAAGGCACTAAATCATCGTTTGAATTCAAAGGGGAGTGTATAGGTGTTTTATTTTTTTTAGTTACCTGAGCAATGCAGCCACCAAGGCCCATGCCTTCAAAGATTTGGTGAAACGCGAGTGCAGCAACCAGTGGTCTGATCGTACACTGATTTTGAGACATCCCCATCGTCACACCGATTATCACCGAGTGAAAAATTATCCCAATCTCCAAAACCTGCGAAACCAACTTTTGCTTTAGCTTAACTAATTCCTCGTTCGTCAAATTATTATTCCCCACTTTCTTTGCCACCGTTCCATCCTGTGTTCCCACCGGCAAATAATCTCCACTCGGCTTATGACTGTGCTCCACGTGTGAGCTAGCCGTTAAGTCCACCAAGAGAGCCAGCAGAGCCCCGACTAAAGTCACGAGCCCGGCAAAAGGGAAATCTTTCCACGGATGACGAGACGCGACTTGGCAGTCGGATAGGGCGATGAACGCATCGGGGAGGACGTGGACCAAGGAGGTTGAAAGGATGACTCCAGCAGCGAAACACTTGATTATTAAAATTGCCTTGTCGTAAACAGGTTTGCCATGGAAATAACGTGCCAAGAGGACAGGGGAAGATATGCCGATGATACTGGTGAAAAAGATTACTAAAAGTGAGATGAGCTTAAGGTGATTCGCTGCTGCTCCGTCCCTGCAGCTGAGGGTTCGAGCCGTGTCGCTCGCGCACGAAACCATGGTTACCCCTGGACGAAAACAAGACAGAGAAGAGAGAGAACAAGGGCAGACTGGGAAGCGAGTGTGTGTGGTCCGAAGTGGACTGAAGGAAAATTTTAATGATTTAATTAGGGGTGGGGTTGATGGGGTCCAACCCCATATGAAAATGCCGTGTGATTTTTAATGAGGGACATTTTCTTGTTTCTTGTGCGTCGTATATTAGTAGTAGTGGTACGAACTTTTTATTTTTTTATTTTTTTTTATATTTAGTTTGTTTTTAGTATAGTTGGAGTTTTATGGTTGGTTGATTGTTGGATTGGAAAATGGATGTTTGATGAGTGTGATTTGCATTTTGCTTTTTGCGTGGATTTGTAGAGAGAAAATTAGGTTGAAAGCACCATTGTGCAGTGGAATGGTCCTTTTTTTTTTTTTATATTGCATGGACTCGTGTAATATTTATGATACGAGAAAAAGAGATTCAAAACCTATTTATGAATGAAATATTCTAAGTTTTTGTAATATTATAATTGCTTAAATTTATTAAGGAAATTTTAATAGCTCTTATAAATAAAAATAGAAAAAAAAAAAAAGGAATATCCTACAAAGTTTTTCTTTTCCAAGTCATTTTTATTATGTTTATATTTGTCAAAAGAAACATAGGAAGCAATGCTTTTTTGCCATTTAAATCTTACAACTTTATACTATAACAAAATATATAGTCCATGGAATTCATGCAAGCCCAGACAATAACTTATTGTCATTGGGAAATATGAATATAAGTAATACTATAAAGAACTTCACTTTTTTCCTTCATGGAAGATGACTTTGTATAGTTATATATTGTCAACTTTACACCATTTTTCTATGTTTTTAAAGTAAACTCCCACCATTGAAATTAGGTGTTTTATCTTTTTATTGGTTCCAAAAATAACCAATTCAATGAGAACAGTAACATTTTCCTTATTACTTACAATAACAAAAAAAAAAAATCAACAATAAAAATTAAAATCAAGTAAAAATGGAACATGTAATTAATTTCTTATTTTAGACGAATATATGGATTTTTCACCAATGAAAATCTCTTTACCAATGAAATGTTTCAAAAGATTGTGGGTTTTTTTTTTTTTTTTTCTCATATTGAATTTTTGTGAGTCTTGAATTGATGCCCCGTGGCCCAAATATAAGTGTACAAGATAAGACGCAGATGGCCCATATAATGAAATCCACTAAATTTCAGACAGAACAGAACCCTTATCCTGTCTCTCCCAATTTGAACTAAGCTTAAGGAATAATTAAAACATCTGTTTAGTGTTAAGAAGGGGACTTTAAAATTTTTAAGATTTAGGTGTGTGAGTTACTTGTTTAGATATATTTTATTTTATTAGTTGATTGCTTAATTTGATTATTGATTGTTCAATTAATTATATAAATTTAATACTTAATAATGATTGTAACTTTAAAAAAAATAATCTGTTTAAATCTGAAATTTAATTAGTTAGTTAAATATATACAATTATCCATAAAAAGTGAAATCTAGCAGGTATAAAGTTCAAATCTTGATATTTGCAATTATTTATTTATTTCTAGATTTAATTTATTTGCAAAAAAAAAAAAATAGTCTATCTAAAAATATTTGAAATAATCACGAAAATTTTTTTTGCTTATGTTAACAAATCTTGCTGACAACTTCAAGTTGTCAAGCAGATTGTGAAGCATGTTTAGTTTTCCTCTGTCTAAAAGTTTTGGTACAGAAAGAAACAATGCAAAGGCATAGAACAAAAGAAAAATAAGCAGAAACACAAACTATTCTCCCTAGAGTGAACCCACTGAGAACCAAGCAACTTATGGGGGATATAAGGCTGGCCCAGACAGTGACAAATCGATAGTACTGGGTCACCCCCCTGATCATTGATCTTCTTCAAATCACAAAAGCCCAACGCTTCTTTCAAGCAAAAGTTATATAAAGTCAAAATAAACCTGGGCCCATGACAGCAAAAAGGTCTGGGCCAACCCCAATAATTTTTCCCTGTGCCGTACAAAGGAAACCCAGGAGATCAGACAAAGCGGAATGCATTTGCAATTCCAAACCGAGCTTTTTTCTAATAATAATTGCACGACTTTTACTTGAAAAGGAGGGGTTTGTTCGTGCACGACCGCAATTCGTGAACCAAACGATGAGACAAATTGAGGAAACATCGGCAAAAGAAGGGCAAAAGAAAAACGATGCCTTATCTCTTATGTTTCACTGTTTTGAAGCTTTAGTTTCCCTGATCGATCATGCATGGTACTAGTGCTAAGAAAATTATTCAAACAATCTCGTCTCTGCTCACTTCCTGTACATGGAAACATTTAATTGATAATGTCTTCCTTCTTCAATGGCACTCAACTTATTCAATGGAATTGTGAGAGTGATCACACCAAAATAAAATCTAATTGAAGAGACAATTAAGCTAGTAGTCTCATTAGAATGCTAATTATAATCAGCACAATCCAGTAATCTCATTAGAGACAATTAAGCTCTTCGGTTAAGCAGCTTCTATTTAAGCTTACATTGGACAGTTTTCTATGAAAAATTCATATGGAATTATAATATTGTGATCATCATTAAGATCATATAGAAATGAATACCTTTTTAAAAAACCTTAATTCTGCAATGTCAAAGCCATTGATTTATTTATTTAGGAAATGAGAGAATTAAATTTTTTTAATAAGAGATCATGACTTACTGCTCTAATCGTTGAGTCAAATATTAAATTATGTCATTGAAATTATTAAGTTTATATAAATCTAATTCCCATCACGAGCTGACGTGTGTGAAAGCCCTTCCAGGCCTTAAGTTCAACAACGAATTACATCAACTGATGAAGATAACAGCTAGGAATTTAGTGCAGCCTGTCTAACCCACTCTTTTAATGTGCCTTAGAAAAGTTTGCACCTAGCACTTTTGTCAAGGAAAGGTACTAGAGGAAATTGCAATACTAGAAGCTCTCAAGATCACCCATTTCGATTGATTTTCATTCCCTCTATGACTAATTGTACATATTATCGTTCACCATCATATACATCAACTCTAATATTTTTGGTCATAATCTCAAGGTAGATTTTTTAAATTAAGTTTCAACGAGGAATGCTTTCTGGTCACGCATTTGTTTGTGCAATGTAATCAAGTACCCTGGCCAGAGAAGAAAATCGATGTACTACCTTTGAAAAAAAAAACAGCCCACATAGTTTTGATGTAAGACAAGCTGATGAGTACTGGTTCACAAAAAAAAAATGTAACATAATAACTTATGTTGTTAAAATATATATTATATGGAAGTAACTTCTTTTATATGTAAAATGCCTTTTACCGAGTAGAAAAAGGCTCTTTGCAGAGTTAGTCAAAGTATTTTGCTGCATGATGTTCGCTCAGTGATCAGCCAATGTGCCCCATCTCTGCTTTTACCGAATGAGGATCAAATCATCATCGTCATTAATATTTGCCTAGTTACCAAGTCCGTATTGGCACACATGGGTTTTGAACGAAATGGAATCAACAGTGGCAACGACGCTGGTAGGAGAAAGAGATACCTAACTCGTGCTGCTTTGTCTAAACATGGTCTCATCGATTTGACAAACGACCTAACCCCAAACCAACTTTGTGCCTTCTGAATAAACTAGAGTTACTCAAAAGGGGTGATGCCGTATTCAAGATTAATGTGAGATTGACATCTTCCTCACCCGAAAATGCTATAACATAACAAAGAAGTGCGCCGAAATCTTTGACTAGGAAATGTTTTGCTTAAAACATCAAGGGGCCTAATTTTCATAGTAACGCCACAAGGCCAACTTTGATATGTAGTTTATATATAGATTTTTTCTTTATTGATAATGAGATTCCCTCAATCTTTAACAGTAGCATGTTAGGGAGGGGAACAGTATGCGACGCGACAGAGGGAAGGAGGGTCCAGATAAAATGTTTACCAAAGGCAGAAGGGACAAGGATTGGACCACAAAGCTGCTTGATTATTCGGAATCATGAGGTGCAAAAATGATTTACAAGCAAGGACACCGAGGGTGGCACCTAATTAAGGAAATCTTCAGAGATTTTGTGTCACCGATGTGAAAGGAACAAGAGAAAAGCCCCCACCAGGAGAGAAGGATTGGACTTGTCAAGGAATACATGAGTTGGGGTTTAGCTCAGGCCAGGCAAAAGGGGTCAGGATTTCTTTTGTTCATACCTCTCTTGGGTCTACAAAAAGAGCTCTTGTTAGTGGGGTTTTTGTCAATTCATGGAGTCTGTTTCTCTCTTCATTTTTCAAAGCCTTTATGCACCACAAATCTTCTGGACAGGATAGTAATTTCCAATGCGGGATGTGAAGTCTCAATGTGTCGCTGCCTCCGACTTCTGTAACAATAACCTTACAATCCTTAGACTTTGAAGCCATGTTATGCACGAATTGGCACAGGGTCCGCACCAGCTTGCCAGACAATGGACCTTCACGATGCACTCCATATATGAAATAGAACCCGAATGGATGGAAAAAATTTGGCATGGCCGGCAATTTAAAGCACGGAAGAAGCTTTTCGATCAATCTTGAACTCTTCGTGTACATCAAACAAGATAAAGGTGCATTCCCTAACCTCAACTTGAAAAGCTCCCCACTATTCCATACACTAAGCATTGCCCAACTACTAGGAACTCCCCCCCATGATTCACCTCTCGGATAAGCCACCCAAGTTCCCAAACTTAGCTTGTTTCTCAGTATATTGCCTATATCATTTGGGAAGAACTCCGTTGAAGACATGAATTTACGGTAGAGAGATTCAGCTTCTTCAATCTTGAGCTTTGCTAATTCAACATTCGATGATATCCGGCACATCCGATGGCTAACGGGATTTACCAGAATGGCTGGGGTCCGGAACTTGACATAACTGAGCTTGTCTATGAAGAGCTTGAACGATGCCTCATTATCTCTCTCTGTGGCCATGTATGCATAATCAACATCACTTGCAATGAACCATTCTTCCAATTTGATCACCAGGCTCGAGCCAATCCCTCGTCGCCGATGAAGGGGTGCAACCCTTAAGCCCAATATATAGCCTACCCTGGCTAGATTCTTGGGAAGGTTATGAAATGTTACAAGCTTTATAGAGCCCTGGATGACGCCAACCAACTGGCTGTCCAGCTCGGCTACCTAACATAAAAAATAAAATGATCTGTTTAATTTCTCGACAAGACATCAATATATATGATAAATAATGGTCCGATGATATAGATAAAATAAACTAAAATGGAAAGGAAAGAGTAAGTAGAGAGAAGAGAAGTGAAAATAGTGTTACCAGCATTTTGTAAATCGGACTGTTTCTGATTCTGCATATGGGGTCACCCAAACTGTCTGTGAAGAGAAACGCTCTCTCAGCTGGACCTACCTCACACATTCTCTCGAGATCTTCCACTCGAGCTCTATCATACTGGGCGTCATAGCTTCGTATTATAAGCTCCCCATATCCCATTCTATAATAATTTTCAATAAACTCCCACCATAAACTCTCAAGAGTTGTGTTTGATATATATAAAGAGAAAAAAAGATAGCTCAATGAGAGAGAAAAGGAAGGGTCGGGAAGAGAGTAAAAAACATGTAGCAAACTATTGTTTGATTGGTAGCTGCCCCGTACTGCCACAAGAAGACTTTGCTAGAAAATTCATGCTGATCATTATTTATAAGGAGGGGAACGAGGGGAGGGTGGGGAATTTTGGAATGTTGTCTATCATCAACATCAACCTAGGCCTTCAAATTAAACAAAATAATAGTACTATATAAAAGGTGATTAATAATAGTTCGGAGATGTGTTTTCAATTTGTCCTTTGTCTTTTGCCATTCTTAAACTCAATTAAGCCAATCCACGTTAGGATAACCTCAGCCTCACGCCATTGTGCACGCCTAAGCTCCTAAAATGGTGTTGGCCAACTCCGATTCATTTAATCATCAAAACCATTACTCCTTCAAGCTTAAATTTAGATTAATTTCGATGCGTATATACATAATTTTAATAGTATTTCATATATAAAACGAGATCTTACTAATTAAAAAACAAATATCTTAGAATCTAATCATGCAGCTTTAGGATAGTTAACGAATTAACATCACATTAATTATTTGAACCAAAGTGATGGTGAAAGATGCATTTCACCCAAAGGAGTTGTTATTTCTTCGGGTGTGAAGGGTGCGTGTTCGCCGTAGAGTGCATGGCTAGCAGCTATCAACATAATTAATTAAATCGAAAGGAGGGGAGCGGAGAAAGTATTAAAATAAGAACGAGTTCGAAACTTTTTTTTTTTTTTTTTTGGTAAGGGAAAAAGTCGTTTTCTCCTCACCCTGACCTTTTCAAGTGCACTGTTTTATCTTATATTCATGATTGAATGATTGATTTATTGATTTATTTATTTTCTTTAGAGTTACTGAGTGAAGACTGTGGGTGGTCCATCTTCTTCTTTTAGACACTAAAGATTCGAAAGTGAAAGTGAAAACCCCCCACTAATGTTATGCTAATTGGCTTTCTTCTAATCTAGATATAATTATATATATGGATTAATGATAATAATGCAGGGCGACGTGCCTTAAGCGCGTACATTGAACCTAACATATTCTTGAAACTAATATATAGGCTATCACCAAACAATAATCCACCCAAAAATATCAAACATTAGCTGATTCTTGTGTTTGTTCGGTGAAATCAAGAAATTTTGTAGACCAGGGTCCTTGCAATCTTTGAGGTTTCTGTTATCTGTAATCTTGAGAAAAAAGAAAATAAAAGTTAATACGATTCACTCATCCCTTTCTGCAATTGTATTCCTGCTGAAAACTTTTCATGAAACACACCCACACCACTCGGAATTGGAAACCATGATACTATTTACACAAGTCATGGCTGTTACAACATATAGATTTATAAATCTATAGTTAGACAAAATCTAAGAAGTCCCCACCAATGTTTTATCTACATATGATTGATCACCTAATAAATCTATCATTTTAAGAAACTCTTAAATTTGACTAAGTGTTCCTCAAAAATAAATTCTGGTATACTAATTAAAATATAGTTTAGGAGTTTAATTACATATAAGAAAGGTTATAGTACCTCCATATGCCCATCCAAAAGATGATACCATTTTATTTTAAGTGAAAATTTCCAGAATCCGACGAAAATTCCACCAGTGTTCTTCAGCTTTTAGAGAGAAGGGAGAGGAAAAAGGAAGAAGAGAGAGAGAGGAAGGGAGCGTTCTACCGAAAAGAAGAGGTCAGTGTCTTTTATACCCTCCCAAAACGACGTCGTTTTGGCTTTAAGTTAATCCGAAGATCCACGCGTTTTACCGAAATCTGACCCGACCCGAGCGTCGACCCGCTTCCTGACCCGCGCGTGCCAGCCCCCCTCCGAGCCGAGCCGAGCTAAGTAGCCAAACCGCTCCCCCCGAGCCGTTTCCCTGCCTTTACCCGAGCCGAGCCGATAGCCGAGCCGCTCCAAGTTTTTTTTTTTAATTTATTTATTTATTTATTAGATTAGGTTTATTTAATATTCTTTTTATCTTTATTTTATTTTTTTTTTTTTTTATTTTTTTTTTATTTTTTTATTTCACTTTTATTTATTTTATTTATTCTATTTTCTTTAAATAAAAATAAAAAATTCCAAAAAATATTTTTGGGGAAAAGTTGAAAGTATCAATTTTTCTTAAAAGTAAATTTTCAAAAAAAAAATTTTTGAGGAAAAGTTGAAAGTATCAATTTTCCTTAAAAATAAATTTAAAAAAAAAAAGATTTTTGAGGAAAAGTTGAAAGTATCAATTTTCCTTGAAAATCGAAATTTTCAAAAAATATTTTTGGAGAAAAGTTGAAAGTATCAATTTTTCCTACACAAAAAAAAATCATTCTTTCATTCCTTTCTATTTTGATTTTTTATTTTGATTTTTCTTTAACTAATCCGACGACGGAGCCTCTGCAAGTGAAACAATAGTTTTTCTTGCATACTCTTGAGGTGAGAAAATTTTCTCAATTTTTTGCTAAAAGTATTAGAGTCAATTGAGAAAATTTCCAATAATTAATTACTTGATAAAATTTTAAGGCTTTTGGATAACACAAATTTAAGCTGGTACCATCTTTTGATGTTTATAGGGTATCTACCTTCCCAGTCGTACCTCCATATGCCCATCCAAAAGATGATACCATTTTATTTTAAATTATACTAAGGTTTATAGTTCTACTAGTCTTAATTTTGATATTTAAATATTAAAGATAATTATTAAGATTTCTCCATCAATATGGTAGAATTCTTAAAAATACTTACTTTAAGAGTATTCAAAATCTCATTTGTTTTCTTAAAGAGATTCCACTAGCAGAAGGTTTAATCAACTTTGTTTATCAAAAAAATATATAATTCTTCCACCATTTGAGCCTAAATTAAAAATATTTCCATGCACATGCCTTTCCATTGCTTGCTTTGTTCAACATGTTTCTTGCATTCATTAGTCAAAACTTCTACCTATGCCATGCGCTAATCCACTATCCCTTGTAGCATCTGGTTATGTCCATGCGCCCAGTAGTGGCCTTTTGTTTTTCTTCCACCCTAACTTTCAATAATTCATTTTTTTTAAGAGTCGAGCAAGCTCGGGTGTGACTGATGAGTTCTTCTTATCTAGATATTTGAATAAGGCTTTTCACTAGTCTTTTTGCTAAGTGAGGCTCTGGATTTCTGATTTTGCAACTTCAAACTTTCTCCCATTTCTTCTTTCAATCGTTTATTTTTTTGTTCAAGCTTATCTCTCTCAATTTGGAGTTTTCTTTTAGTAGTTTCCACTTTCATCAAGAGATCTTGAAAAGTCAATTTTGAGGAATGGTCAACTCTTTGTTCTCAAAGTAGTACAATATCCCTGTCCCTCATTGTATGCCATACAACATATTTCGGAGTAATATCATATGTAAGCCTCCCCTGATTAGCCTTAACGGTTTTCATGCTTTTTTTTTATTATTTCAATCTTTCTATAAGCCTTTTTTTTCAATAAAAAATAATTCTCATTGATTAAGTTCGTTTGTTTCTAGAACAAATTGTTCACGTCCAAACTATTTTCTCATTAAAGTTAGAGCATAAACAATAACACCCCATAAGCCCAACAAGAAAACCTAAAGTTGATTCTTACAGCTATATAATACTGTATTATGACACATCTAAAGTGCTCTCCAAATTATCTTTTGGCTATCAAATGCACAAAAATATGAAACCCAATCTTTTTTCAACTTTGCTTTAAGCCATGTGCTATAACAAAACTCCTTGATTAGAATGCTGGAACGAAGATATGGTTTGTGAAACTTGCTTTTCTCACACTTAATTTGACTCTTCAACCATACATAAAGTAGTTGTAGGCATCCATTAAATTGACTTTTACCATTTTTGTGACAAAAATTCAAAGATCGAATGGTTTCTGCCAAAATGGTTGGTGTTGCATTGACTTTATGTTCTAACTGATCAACAAAATCTATCATTGTAACATCAACATATCCAATGATTTTCGAAAAGATCACCAATCTATATAGAGCTATAGTCATTATTATTATTCCCTAATCATCACTTAAATGCTTATGAATGAAGTCTTGTAAAAAATTTCATGGAATACCCTTACTCTTGCTTTTTGTTTCAACATATGCATCAACTTGAGGCAAGTTGAGTCCAAGCATTTGCATAAGCTTTTTTTGATAACCCACTTTGTTTGATCAATAAATCTTGTCTAGGTTTGGCAAATCAAAGTGAAATAGGACATATACTATTCAATTGTCAATACCATATCTGCTTCATTGAAGATAAAACATCTATAAGAAGAATCACAAAACTAAAGAATGACTCTGATCAGATTATTGTCTACATCTATTTGGAATAGTAAAGTTATATCTCTATATTTGTTCTTAAATACCTTTTACTTTGTTCTACTTACGCATCCCCAAACATTGCTTAAGTCGGCCAAGTCATTTTGTTATAGATCGAGATGAACTCTCTTAATTTGACGAGATAAAACTTTTAGGCAAACAATTACCCTTTTTCTTTGATCTTTTTCTGACTTAATTTTTGACTGGTGAACGGATTTATAACAAGTTGATGCAGACTTTGATTGCATTTAACTTTCCATGGATGTAGGTTTAAGATCTGATTTATCGATAATTGATATGTGGCAAATATTTCCTATATGAAAATTATGCAAATACGTAATGTTAAACATCACAATGAAAATGATGCATAGAATTAAATTATATGACAATGCAAACACTATAATAATTGAAATGATGCAAATGTATAAAGTCAAACAAATAAAATGGTTAGAAAATCAATCTTGTGTTTTAACTTCAAATTACATATATCAATAGGTAGAAATGACTTTATCTTAAAACTAGACTCTTAAATGTAGATTATATGCAAGGCTAAGGGATTTTGACCATTAAAGGTTCTTAAATTGTTCTTTACATCATTGTCTATCACTAACTAGTAAGTCATTCTAATCTTCATCTATCACAAGCTACTAACGAAAATGATTCAATTTGAGTGGATTCAATTTGAGTGGGAGTATTTTACTAGCTATTGCGAAGATTATCATTTCATGATAGCATATATACTTTACTCTTTCTTAAAAGGAACAAAGCTTAGGTATAGAGCTCATGTAATGCAAATACATATGATAGTGTATGTAAAGGAATATATAATTTTTAAATCTCCATAAATAAAATAAAAGACAAAAAAAAAACAAATAACATAATCTTTACATTTTAAAACCATTAGATCAAAGGATAAGATAAATTTAAAATGTTATAGCCTAACTTTCTATGTTTTTATTGGAGTCATCAAACTGTCATAATGTATAGAGCAATAAATTTATAACTAGATACAACCTAAAAAGTCACTACCAATCTTTTATCTAAGTATGATTAGCTACCCAATAAATCTATCTTTTTAAATAGCTCATAAGCTTGACTAATAGTCCCTAAAGAATAAGTTTTGGTCTATTAATCATAATAGGGATCAAGAGTTCGGTTATATATAGAGAAGCTTATAGCATTCCCGCATGCCTATCCAAATGACAATACAATTTTATTTTAAATTATCCTAAGGTTTATAGTTCTAATGGTCTTAATTTTGATATTTAAATATTGAAGATAATTCTTAAGATTTTTTTATCAATCTGATAGAATTCTTAAAAATACTTTATATCTAGTAGAATTCTTAAAAATACTTTCTCACCTTAAGCGTAATTAAGAATTCTATTTGTTTTCTTGAAAATGTTCCATCATTGGAAGGCTTAACAACTTTGTTTATCGAAAATATATCTATTCTTCCATCATTTGGGCCTCAATTAGAAATATTTTTTTATATAAAAATATCTTAGATAATCATTCATTTGTGATTATTAAAAATTTCATCATCATAATTTTATTTTTATATTTTATATTTTTATTTTTAAATTTTTCATCATTTGAGTTTATTTAAAAAATTTTCTTATAAGTTTCATTTTCTAAATTTTTCACCATTTAGGTTTGTTTAGAATCTAAAGTCTTATTAATTTCCTAATCCTTGGAAAGAAAATAATATGACAATTATTTCTTAAGGCTTATTTAAATTTTTTCACCATTTGAGTTGAATTTAAAGAAAATTTTCACTAAAAAATTTTTTAAAAAATTTATCATTTAAAATTTTTACGATTCTCATCCTTGGATAATTCTCAAATATTTTCATCCAAAATTTTAAATTATATTGTAAATTTTTTATTTGAAAAAGAATACAATTATTTTTATTAAAATTTTAACTAAATTATACCACAATTTGAGTAAAATTTAGATAAATTCCTCACCTAAAGATTTTTTAAAAAATTTATTATTTGAAATTTTTTAAAAATTTCATCCTTGGATAATTAGTATTTCAATACCCAAAATGTATTAAATTTACCTATATGTTTTATTTTTATTTTGTAAAATTTGAGAGTAAATATTAATTATTATTATTATTATTAAAATTTTATCTAAATTCTCTTCTATTTGAATCAAATTTAGAAAAATTTCTTACTTGAGAATTTTATAGAAATTAACTTTTTTTATAATTTCTCAAAAACAAATTTCATCATTGGATAATTATTTATTTTTTTCAAAATTTTATTAAATTTTTATATATTTCTAATTATTCTAATTATTTTCTCTAATTTTCCTACAATTTAATCATGCATAATATTTTAAAAATAAAAGTAACAACATAAAACAAAAATAAATAAATAAATAAAATACCAAAATATAAGTGGCTCGACTTTGTTGATGTGGTTTGGCTCGACTGTTGGTAGGAAGGCGGCTAGATGGCTCGTACATCAACTTGGTTTGATTAAAGCTAAAGAGGTTGGGAGCGGGTCGTGAGTTGCTGGTTCGACTATAATGTGGATCTCTCTGGGTTAATGCTTGGACCTTGAAGAATTTCAAATCCCAAAAACAGCGTCGTTTACTAACACTATAAAAACTTCAAATTTTCTTTCTTCCTTTAGATCTTCATCAACCTTTTTTCTCTTTTCCTCTTTTCCTCTCTCTCTCTCTCTTTCTAGAAACCAATAAATATCGACCACCGTATTTTGAAATTTCTCACCAAAAACTTCAAATTTCGTAAAAACTTCACCTAAAACTGAAAAATATCACTAGAAATGATGAATTTTACCTAAAATCTTTGTCAAAATCTGAAAATTTTTTAAAAATTTTCAGAAAACTCACTCTAACACCAAGTCTCACTCTTAATTTTCTATAACCCTTTAGCAACACTAAATCAAGCCTTCGCAATTCAAAAAACCCAAATATTTTTTTGTAAGAAATTTTTTTAAAAAACAAAAATTATCTCCCGTTTGTACTCTCTTTGGCTTTCTATTGTGTATTTTTTTTACCTATTCATGTTATTTTTTCCGTTAAATCTAAGTTTATATTTATAAAATTTAAATTATGAGAATCTTAAATTAAAATAAATTAATTTCACTTTAATTCTAACTTCAATTATAATTTTAACCCAAATTTTATAATTCCCGATATAATTCCACACCAACTCAATCATCCGAACTTTTTTAAATAAAAAATAATTACAATTTCACATAAATTAAAGTATCTACAAGAAAAATCCAAAAACCCACGGGGCTTCTGTCCTTTTTTACTAGACTTAGTGCCCTATATGCCCATGTGCTGTTTTGCGAACCTCCCTAGCTCTCTCTTCTCTTGCCACATCTACTCTATATCTAGCTAAATATGGATCCATGTAATAGGCATATACTGGCCAAAATCAGGGACATGAATTCAAAGTTAAAACTTACTATCTCTGCCAAACCACTTCGCTTGCTAAGACTCTCCATTCTTGGCACTTTGGTTATAAGATTGGATGAAGATCTTTCAACAAAATAGCAGCCTCTTCGTCGTCGTCGTCGTCGTCGGCTAAGAATTTAAATATGGAAGCCAAATTCTAGCTCTAATAAATGCTTATAATAAATATATTATTACAACATTTAAAAAAAAATTTATATTTGAAATTATCATTATTAACTTTTAATTATAAAAATTTCCAGGAAATTGACTGAATTAAAACTAATGGAATATGATTCTATCATTATTGGATATTTATTTAGAAAATTTTTTTAAGATACCCCAATGTGATCAATTTGTTTTTTTATTTTTTCATGTAAAAAATGCAAAAGATAACTAGAAAAATTGTACGCGCTGCTTGGGGGTTTTGTTATAGACTTACAATCATAATATGTGATTAATCCACCGAAAAAAACAAAACAGAGAAAGAACACATCAAACAGAAACCCCAATAACGCATTCCACATTCACACTTTGATATACCAATAATAATATTTCTCGCAAAACAAAATGCTCACCAACCCAAACTGTCGCTACCATCCTCTTTAATTCTTTCTTTTGTCTTGATGCACTCTTTTAAGTCTTTCTTTAATTTATAAACTGATCATATTCACTTCCAACAACCTTCCTCCTTTTTCTTCATTAATCATAATAATCATCAAACCCCCCATTATTATTAATAGAAAAAGACGCGAAAACCAATTGCAAACTGCACACGTGTGAAAAAGCTTACTCAATACAGCTAGTAAATTTAAAAAGGGACTTCACCACCCAAGATCCACCCAAAGGGCAGTGAGATCTTATTATCTTAGCCTAAAAGAATGGGAAAAAAAAGATTAATGGGTCCCCTAAACTCATGATTTAACCCTCCACAAAGAAAGTGAACAATCTGTCTTCCCTGTGTTTTTCTTTGCATGAATTATGTTGTGCATGCTTTTCTGTGATAGGTACTTTGGAAGAGCATTTAGAATGGGGTCCTACCTTTACCATCACATTGGGGGATGTTTAATTTGAAGAGGAATTTTTGGCCGTCTGGAAGTTTCTCATTGGGCACGTAGCATGCTTCCATTTCTTCTTCTACTTTCGTATTGGGATTAATGGATCAACCTTAGTGCTCATTGTTTCTTTTAGCTTCTTAGTTTGTTCCAAAAGAGTCTCTTCCTTAATCATATACAATCGATTACTCTCTCTCTTAAACCTAACTTAAGATGTTTACATCCAGTCTTTATATGCCAACTGTCCTGAAATTGATATGATGAGAAAACTAAGATAAATATATTTATATATATAGATAATAAGATAAGAAAGTTAGGTTATGTTGTTGTTGATACTTTTGTTTTTTATTTTTTTTGTTTTATGTCTTTTGTTTGCGGGTGTTTTTTTTTTTTTTTTGCTTTTCACTCAAAAAATAAAAAATAAATAGCAAAAACATCAATCAAATTGAACCTTAATAATTTAGGATTTGCAGACTATTTTAGGGTTTCGAGAACGTGTCTTAAATCCTAATCTAGTACAGTAAAAAGAGAGTTTGAAATATTATGGTACCTACAAAACTAGCTAGCCAAGATGCCAAAGCATGAATCTATGGAAAACAGATGAAAAAGGAATGAAAGAAAATGAAAGGAAAGAAAAAAGCAGCTTACTATAGCAGACAGGATACCATATAAAATCTGAACCTTGATGGATTGGTGGATGGTGCTGAAGGACATCATTTCTTAGGAAACAAAACAAAAGACAAAATGGATACGCAACCATATGTGATCACGATTCATTCAGATAACAAAAACAGATAATAGGCCAAGTGCTCAAGTGGGAGAGATCAGATCATCTAGATATTCTTTTTTCCATTTTTCCAAACAATCTAATCATGGAAACATCACATTCAATTGCAGAAATGGGCGATTATGGTGTGGGTTTTCACTTCACTAAGGCATCTTCCCTTCTCTCTCAGAATTTTGGTTTATTCCTAAAGAAAATATATCATAGTATTTTATAGACTTGCAATGTCAACGATATTATCCATTTGTTTTTTTCTTTTCCTTTTCGCCAGCCTATTATCCGTTATACTTAACCATAAACAGCATGTGAAATGACAAAAGTTACCAAAGAAAAGAAAAGAACCAAAGAACAATGATTGTAAGATTTGTTATCTTTAATGAACAAGTATATACATATACATATATATGAAATGGAATCGTTATCCATGAATAGACCACACGATTACAAAGAGGATTTAATTTGCAACTTCATTGCTGTTGTGAGCCATCGATTAGTGATAAAGCGGTTTTAGCTGAGGACCCTTAGTTTAACTAGTTTTAAAACTTTGAAACTCTGCCATATTTGTAGCCGTTATAAGAGTAAATTAAAACCACAGGAAAACTAGTTTGATGCGCTTTGGTACATGAAGAAACAGAAACGTCGCAGACCGGTGAGCCAAGTGTAATAATAGATGAGGTGAGGCTCACTAACTGTAACCTTTACATGCTACTATTTGCCAAATATACTTACATCTTTTATTCATCTTCATTGACCACATGTCTCCTTTACATCTAAATGAAATTCAAATTATATTCCATTGTGCCGTTTCCGCCTAACAAGTCTTGTTAAAAGTGATCTCATATTCAAATTGAATCTGAATCTTTTTATTTATTGTCAATTTACTTTCAAAATTAGATGCTTCAAACTGTATCAGAATCCAGTTTTCATTGCTTATTACTTCTTTCAAGTTTATTATGTGAAATTTCCATAACTGTTGAATTGTACCTACATTTGCAAGTGGCATTAGCATTCTATTGAAACAAATTTTCCCGTAATGATTAGTTTTTCTTTGCTTTACTAGCATCGAAACTAGATTAAGTTTCAACAAGCAGCAGCCTGAACGAAACTTGAATCCAACTAAACCCCAGTAAAAGTTCTCGTTTAAGCTTGAAACTACAGCTGAATTTGTTCGCATGGTAGCAAAACCAGAAAAAGAAGGAACAGTGAAATCAGAATTACTTGTGCTATTATGCAACAGCACGTGGCTCTAATGGTTTATTAAAAGAAACAAGGCAACCAAGATTCAACCTCCAACATATACAAATAAGCTTAATTAACATACAATACTCCTATGCAGCTGAAAAATTATAAGCATTAATGTCAATAAAACAGTCATAGTATAAAGTACAAGGTTAGGTGGAGAAAACACAAGTAGTCGGGAGAACCCGTGAAACCAAGCCACTGCAGATACATTAAATCAGCTCAATTCCTATACAATGTGCTTGTGTGAAATCAGTTCCTAGATTTTGTATCATACTCATATGAAATTATATTTATGGTGATGCTGGTGGTAGTGGGGTGGGGAAGAAAATCAAATCAAGTTCAAAGCAACAGTGATGAAGAACAAGTGAACTCAAACCAAAATAGTCAAGGATTAATCTGAATTCTCAACCAAATCCTCACATGTAAGTAACCAAATACTCAGATATCTAAAATATCAATCTCTGAAATCAAAATACCAATATCTTAATATCTATAATCCAAGCCTCCTAGAAACTGAAAATAACATGAATATTTATAACTAAACCTTAAGCCCCAGTAAAAAGGTATACCAAATATAAGTATATAACCTTTAAGCCTTACTACTTGGACAATAAGTAATATACTAATATAAAATAATCTAAATCATCTAAAATAGCCTAAATATATGTAAAAATTACAATTAAACGCAGACAATTAAAAATAAAATACTAGATAATTCAATCCTTCAACTAGCATATCTCTATACCAGATCCCATCACACTGGCAAAAACAAACTAATTATATTTTGGGAAGTCAACAGTACACCTTGGTATATTTTTGATAAAAAATAAGGGACTTACGTACATTATCCAAATACCATCTGCAAGAGATGGAGGAATGACTTAGATCTAACGTCAAGCACCACTTTGTGCCGAGAAATGAGGTGCTCGGCCAAGTGGTATTATGAGATCCTTCATAACCTCGTATTCTTCCATACTTATCTGGGCACCATCCAGGACCTATGCAACCAATAAAGACAGTAGTCAACACTACAAAACAAGAAAAAATTTTACCATCAATTTTGGAGAATCAAATCTAGAACCTGTTTGTAGATGGGGAAAGAAAATACACTTAAATCCACATATCATCAGCCTCAAATTTTGTATATGCTTTACAAAATATGAAGTTAGCCATCTCTTCTATAAGCAGTTTGTTAAATCTATTGATCCAATGCATCAAAGGATGAGCAATCAGAGAGTTCATGGCTCCTATAAAAAGAAGCAAAATCAATTAGAGAAGATCATTTTCTAGCAAGATATAAAGTCAAAAGGAGCATTTCGCAAATACTTCTAGTTGATAGATTCACAATCAGATTGAGCCATGCCAGATCCAAATGCAAAAGGACCGGCTGAATATGATGATCAGCCTAACGAAAGATTACCACAGCTAAAGCTCGAAGATCAAAAGAAGAATCCATTATTTGAACTTTAACGGTAACAGGAAGTATTTTTGCTTTTAATGTGTCAACAACCTAAGCAGTCATGTATATCATGATATCAAGCTTTAGCCAAAAGGCAAGGCTGAACTTTTCAAGAATTCCACTTATAATTACATTGAACAAAATCAATAGGCTACCTTTACAATCTTAGAGCCTCACCTTGTGAGGAAGCATCCTGCCATTCGTCATGTGGGGAGTGAGGGCAGGTATTCTGGATACAGAAAGAGCATCAATAAACAGAAGAACAATTACTTGCCACTGTTTCATTCTGAATCCTGGAAGTGCTTCTATAAAAGACATTGAATCTAGCAGGCGCCCCTGTATAAAAGCACATTTTGAGAACATTCCACTCAAGATTATTGGAAGGGAATGGAATCAACATGATCTTACAATCACAATAGAACTCTCAAATCCACTCAAGTAGTAAGTTATGGCTCAAAAAATGATCTTACAATCACAATAGGACTCTTAAATAAACCAGTTTAATGTCCTTAAGCTCCCAATCAGAATTATCATTAATTTTCTCAATGTCATTAACCATTTCACAATTATGGATTCAGAATTAGTACCATTCCTTGCTCCAAAGTAGATATTGGTATTGGCAGTCTGAGATCAGTAACAATAGCAGGTAAAGCACGAGAAATACAACCAGCAAGAGTTTCTTTAATTTCAGACGAAAGCCCATCTCGTAAGACAATCTTCTGGGGATACTCCCTCCCATTAACTGTTAGGTACTCTTCTTGGAAACTTTCATCTCTCCCATATATATAAGCCAAAGAAGATGATGTTATCCATTCAAAAAGAGCATTCCACATTGTTACAAAAGTTGACAGCTGACGGACATCAAAAAGAGTAAGAGAAGCAATCAACATAATTACAAAATGCAGAAATCATATGGCAATGTTGTTAACCCTATAAAAAAATGGAGAAATAATATGCTAATGATGTTAGGTCTATGCAACTTACAGTCAAACTGAAAACCTCTGTTGGAGCATCAAACCATGAGTCCTCTTGGTCAAACATATCAGAACGTGGAATCTCAGGTTTTGTTGGCCAGTTTACAGCGGCTGCTTCTGGTTCTGGTTCAACCATATCAACATCCTTCACAGGCTCCTCCTTGTCCACCTCACTTGGACACGGCAATATGACAAGCCCAGCTTCAGAAACTGTACAGAGTTTTGTGACAAAATGGAGTTATGGACACTGAATACACCATTACAAGTTTGAATCCACATATAATTCAATGAATCCACACAAAAAACTACCAGCATCACTGGCATCAGAATCTCTATATGCCACGGCTTCTGGTGCCTTGCTCAATGCCATAGCACAAGCTTCTGCTGATACAAATCGGAACATATTATCATCACTACCATCTTCTGCCCTGCCACATATTTCAGAATCTCCTTTCAGCGTATCCATTTCTTTAACTTCACAAAGATTGCCGTTACGAGCATTGTAAACTTCCTTACTATCAGCCCAAGTAACAGAGTGATTAAGTTTCTTTGCTCCTGCAGATTTAAGAGAGGATCTAAGCACAGTCTCACTTGATGTCGCTGCCTTGGCAGCATGGATTTCCTTCTCTGTTTCAGCACTACATGTGTCCAAACCATTCTGATAGACATTTTTAGTTGAAGGCAATTCTACAATGCAAGAATCTTTTTCCCTCAAAGCAGATGAGGATCCTGATATCACACATTTTTCCTCAAAGTCTTTACAAATTCCTTTTCCTTCCACTTCTTTCAATTTCAAACCAGAACAACTCTGTCTCGACTCTGAGGGCATCTTCGAAATAGTATACTCATCATTCATGATTATTTCACTAGTAAAGTCCGTGTCATTAATACTACTCGACTCCGTTGTTTGACTCTGTCTAAAACTACCCGGATTCTTCGAAATGGTATATTCATTGTTCATAATTATAGCACTACTAAAGTCCATCTCATTATTAACAAAAAAATATCCTTTGCTATTACCCAGCTTGGAACTACTAGAATCAAACACTGCAGTAAAAAATTTAACCTTTGTTAAACTAAGTATAATTTAAGTTTTTTATATATAACGACTTGAATAATTGGGAGAAGAAAGTTCTCACCTTCATTTTTGCTATTTTTTGAAGGTGAAGGCGTAGAAATCAATTCTCGTTGTGGAACATAGCCCTCAATAGCATTGGAAGGACCCACCAACGAAACTTCTTCGGTTTTTATTTCCTCATTCTCTTTAATCCTTAAATTCGAAAACCCTAAATCTCCATTCTTCCCCAAACCCTCATCGTCGAAATTCAAGTCTACAAACAAACTCGAAACCTCATTAAGTTTCGCATGATTCAAAACCGAACACCTCTCTTCTTGCAAAATCGAAGCGAAAGCTCGGCTATTAATTAGGCAATCAGCGGAGCAAAACATGTTAGTTTCCAGTAAATCGTAAACTCTGTGTTCTTTTAAAGAGATTCGATAACGGCCTTTTCGAAGTGGTTCCGATGGTAGGGGGTTTCGGCACAAAGGGTAACCGCAAATGTTGGAAATCGATCTCTCGGTTACGACATCCTCGTAATCGCTTCGAGAAATTAAGGAAACGGAGGCTAATAGTTGTTTCTCGTCTTGGATTCCGTCGAGCAGATGGAGTTGAATCTTGTGTACGGCTTCGGAAACGGAGAGTGATTGATCTTTCGCCATTAATGATGAACGTTTTTGGGGAATTTTGAGTTTCTTTTTTTTTTTTTTTTTTTTACTTGCTAGATTCTTGATGTATACCGGAAAGAGGTTTTAGAGGGTTGCCAGTGCAGCAGTCGGTTTTCGAAAGAAGCGAGGTAGGAATTTGGAAATAACTGGTTCTGGGTAAGAGTATTTTTTATATTTGGTGGTCGTTAGGCACATCTGTCTTTTGGGCTTCTATACGATCCAATTCTGGCCCAACTATGGAAAAGAAGCCCATCATTCTTACAAGCCTAAATCATGTTGCGTTTTTTTTTTTTTTTCAAATGAGATGAAAGAAGATGATGAGAAATCCATAATTTTTTATTTCAAATTTTTTTGTTTTTTTACATCGTTAAGAAAAAGGGAATCTTTAATTATTATGATAATACTTTAAGATCAAATTCCTTAACAAGATGCAAATGGTAACTGGGGTTTTTTTTCTCTCAAAAAAGATGAAAATATTTGAAATATACATATTATCTATTTAATCCATAAGTCAAAATTTTCATTTGCGCCAAAATATATCATAGGAATCAGACAATATATTATAAATTAAAATTAAAATTTTCTTATATAGTTATATGTATATATTTTTAAGATATATTTGATATATAAAATTATGATAAGATATGATAAGATGATGTTATACATAGGATTAGATTAAATAATATTATCTCTCTTAAGTTGATATGTGTAAAAATTAAAATAAAATAATTTATTTATTAAATAAAATTATTTTTTTTAAATTTTATCAACTTAAATCATAGATGTAATTTTTAAAGGTATAATAAAATATGTAGGTTATGTTTGATACATAAAATAATTGATATGATAAGATAATAATCAGTTTATATTATGTTTGGCTTATATATAAAGAAAATGATAAAATTATAAAAAAGATTAATTATTCTCTTGGCATAGGATGACTCATTCCTACTAAAATGAAGAAAATAATTTTTAATTTATGAAATTAAACTTACATGTCTTATTATATCGTTAAAAATTATATCGATAATTTAAATTATATAAATTTTGAGGAAAGATAAATTTAACAAATAAATAAATTATTTTATCATAATTATTGCATATATCAAACATAAAGTAATATAATATTATTTAATATAATTCTAATCATAATATTATTTTATTTTATTTTATTATAATTTTATACATCAAACACACCTGTAAGTTCAATATCATGAATTAAAAATAATTATCTTCATTTTGAGATAATTAAGTAATTATATACTAAGAATATAATTCATTTTTCTTATAATCTTATATATTTTTTAGATACAAACTAATTATAATATAAAATAATTATCATTTTATTTATTCATTATTTTATGCATTAAATATGATGTACTAAAAATGTTTATTAATGTATATACATGGAGAGCGAGATACATGACGAGTTTTTGACATAGGAAATGTGTCATCCCCCGTTGAAAGGGGTAGAGATTTGTTTGTAGACCTTAATTCGAACTCCACAAGAGAAAAAAATAGACCCAACTCTCTCATTTTCTTATAGCGAAATGTGGACCTTAGCTTTAGAAAATTGACTTGAACACTTGGTCGGCCCAGAATGGTCTTCGGCCTGGCCCTGAATCTTCAACCTCGGGCCATTCAAGGGGTCGGCAAGGATCACAATCCCTCAAAAAAATTTTTACTGTTATTTTAGATCAATAATTGCATATACAAAAATTAACATGCAGCTCTCGTTTCCCTTATTAAATTTACTGTTTAGTTTTCTTTAATTATTATTTACCTTGGTCTCTGCTCACACTTTACGAAATCTTTAATTTCTAGTCCGGAGCTAATAACCAAAAATGCTACACTGCATAAAAAATTCAAATGATAGAGAATTTCAACAGACACAGGCAAATATAGCAAACACCCAAAAAAATTTATGAAAAATAAAATAAAATAAGAAGAAGAAATAGAAAAAATAATCAACAAACTTGATAGCTGGAGAGATTTGAGTTGAGTTTTTTTGCTTCTTTTGCAGAAAGAAAAACACAGCCTTTGGGAGAGACAAGTAACCTAATCGTCAGGAGAGTAACCGTAAAGCGAAAGCGATGAGCTTAGCAATGATGTTGGTATTTACTTTTTATTATAAAATAAGTTATTAGCTTAAATGATTAAAGTTTATTTTTTTACGAAAAAATATTAAATTTAAATTTTATCAGTCGTTATTTATTATTAAGATTATTTCAAATGTATAATTTATAATTATTTTTTATTAAATTATCAAATATAATATATTTTATTTTAATTTGAGAGATTAAATAATTTATTTATTTTAATTTTTTTTAAAATAATATTTAACTTATCTAAATGTATATATATGCTATTAGTATGTTTACTCATAAACTAAATAGAAGCCCGAGACACACAATTCTGTATTAATGATGAAATTACCGACAGATGCATAAAATTGCGCAATTGAATCTCCAAAACCTCAAATTAATAATATGATATAGAGGGACAGATAAGCAAACCATCAAATTTCATCCTCAACAAAATAAAATGAGCATTGATTATTTGACTAAAATGAATATTTTAATATGAGGGAAAAAGAGTTGACTTTCAAATTAAGAATAAAATTATCTTTTTATTAAAATTAGGTATAGTCTTTAGCTTCATATAGATTTTAAAACTCAGCATATTCTTCACTTTCCGATGCCACAAATTCGCTGCAAAAATATCCTCAATTCGAAGAATGCTTTCAACTATACCAATCAAGGGTCTCCCTGAACTCTGAAGTGAAAGCATGGGACCCTCCAGTCCCATCAGTTACATAATGTGATAAACTTTGTTCTAGCGACATGGGCCGTTCGATCATACAATTCTTGTCAGATGGAACCCCACCAGACACATTAAGGCTCCATCTAGTTTGGGATTTTGCCAACATCATGATCTTACTATGATCTTTTAGTTTCTTTGATCAAAATCGTGGGCTTTACATTTAACAAACAAAACCACAGTACACAAAACACACGCGCTTGAAGCTGGCCAACCGCTAATTCTGTATGAAGTTCTGTTGGAGAGTCTTGTCTGAAAGCCCTTTTTGTTTGCTTACTCAATTTTGTTTAGTTTAGCCTTAGCCATTGCAGTTAGCTCAAACTCATACCTCTCTCTCAACCAACTTCACCTTTTCTATTTTCTTTTTTTTTTTTTCTTTTTTATGGTACTGAGTTTATTTTCCGACTATGAAAAGATTATCATCTTCAAAAAGGGTAGTGAACAATGTGGTTAAGGGGGAGATAGAGTGGGAGCTTAGGCCTGGTGGCATGCTTGTTCAAAAGAGGAACGTGGGGGATGCTTCTTCTGGACCTATGATCAAGATCAAAGTTTCTCATGGTTCTTATCACCATGATATTACTGTGGCTGCTCAATCCACTTTTGGTAACCATTTCTTTATATTTTCTTACTTTATGCCTGTCTTCCCTGTTGAAATTTTGTGGAAGATTGGTTTTCTTGGTTTTTCTTTTGAAAAGAGTATTAATACATACGTGCAATTTGCATGGTATTTTTCTCTTTTTACCAACTTTTGATTTACGGTTTGAGTATATGATTGAAGTGGATTATTGTCATCTCCACTCCATTCTGTCGGTTTCTCAAATTTTCGTCTTTTGTGATTAATTGGTACATCAATTTGAGGAAAGTTTGAGTCTTTATCTTTTTTTTTTCAGAACATAAGCTCTTTGGCATTGACGTTTTCACTTCCATCATCATGATTCCATGGATGTCAAAATTTAGTCTTTTGAGTGAGGCTCTTTTAATTCACATAGTTACTCGCTCTGTCATCAATATCATTATCTGTCTCACTGTCTGCATTTCTATATTTCCTCTTTATCTTTTGTGCATATGCTTGGTTCTTCCCTGGATTGTTGGACCTGGCTTCACTGTTTTGGTGGGTCAGATCAGTTTAGCAACTGGATTGTGTGATGGGTAGGCGCTATGCTGACATTGTTTTAACTTGCAAAATATTAAATTGATGCTAAATTTACTTTGGTTCAAATTGAAGGGGATCTGAAAAAGGTTCTTGCTCAAGAAACTGGTTTGGAGCCGAAGGAGCAGAGGCTATTGTTCCAAGGGAAAGAAAAGGATGATGAGGAATGTTTGCATATGGTAGGAGTAAAAGATATGTCAAAGGTGGTACTTTTAGAGGATCCAGCTAGCAAAGAAAGGAAGCTTGAGGAGATGAAGGGAAATCAAAGTGTGGTCAAAGCCTGTGAAGAGGTTGCCAAGGTCAGAGCAGAGGTTGATAAACTCTCTGTAAAGGTTAGCATACACTGAAAAGAGAAACTAGTTTTTTCATGTTACAACTTGAAAACTTTTCAACCTACTGAAATTTTGTAGGTTGTTGCTTTGGAGGCAATTGTTCGTGGAGGTACCAAGGTTGCAGAAAAGGAATTCCTAGTCTTGACAGAGTTGCTTATGGTGCAATTGCTCCAATTGGATACGATTGAGGCTGATGGCGAAGCCAAAGTCCAGAGGCGGGTTGAGGTTAGTGATTATCCAGTTGTGCTTGCTATCATAGACTTTTGTAATTTTCTCTAATGCCATTTTAATGATGGTCCTTATTGAAACCCAATCCACATTTTCTACACAATTGAGGTACTTTTTATAAAGTTAAAGTTAGCTACTGTAGTTTTCAATTATGCCAACGCAATGTTGCTGGAAAATGAAAGCCTTTTTGTTTGAAATGGTTGTGAACTTGACATGTAGATGAATTAGAGCCCACACCAGCAATCTGTGACTTGAAACATTCTCGGTGAGTTATGCACAAGAACTCAACATAGATGGATTCTTGATCCTTCCTTGCTCTAATTATATACCATTTTCTTTTGGTACAAATAATTGTGCTTGTTCATAACATATTTGGTGGCTTTCTACTTAAGAAAAAGAAGTTAAAGTGAGCTGTCCTCAGCATGGGTATACTAAATTTGGGAGTTCTGAGCTGATGAAAAATGAGAGTCCAATTTGGTTGGAAACGGTTGGTTAATCACGTCACAAGTGCACCTCCTCTGTGGTCCTGGCGTTAGAATCCTTGGATCGGATCCAACCAGTAAAAAGAAAGAAAAGAAAGACAAAGCAGATTTTGTCAATTGAAGTAGTGAACAAAAGAGAGTTTGCAATTGATCAATCTGGTTGCATCCATCCATTTTCATCCATACAATTGTTAACTTTCCACTGGCTTAGCACCGCCTTGATTGATATGCCTGAGAACTACAATTTCTTTTTGTTGCATTTTTTTTCAGCTTGAAACTATGTTCTTCGTTGAATTACACGAGTGAATAGATATCTTTATAACAGTTTAATGTGTTTGTGAGAATGATAATTGAAAACATTGCATTTTCAATTTTCCTGCACAGGTCCGTCGTGTCCAAGGTCTTGTGGACACCCTAGACAATTTGAAGGCTAGAAACTCAAGTCCCTTCAGCAGTAGTTGCAATGCAGTGTCAGTGAATACCAAATGGGAGGCATTTGAGTCTGGGGTAGGAAGCCTGACTGCCCCAGTCCCCCTACCATCCTCTACAAGAATAACTCAAGATTGGGAAGTATTTGATTAAGCACAGATACAAATCTCAGTCAGTAATGTAAAAATGTGAAACAAAGGCTGTATGCTGGTATAGGATCAAAACTCCATCTCAGTACGGTTTTATTTGCTCGTTGGTATCTTCTTAATCCACGCCATGCCCGTGAAACAGGACATGTAAATAGGATCACCCATGAATCTTCAAGCAAATATTAATCTTTTATGAACCTCATAACTGCTGTAGTTACCGTCGTACACCGCCTGTTTGCAAGCTCCCCATCATTCTAGATCCCGTGAATTACCTGTTTTCATGAACTAATGAATTTGGCAAGCGCCAGTTGTTTACTCATTAAAAATAAAAACAACTCCTGGACAATTGACATAATCATTCCGTCAAAATTAAATTTGATAATTTTAAACACATGTTGACATGATGTAAAATGTGTTAACATGATATAAAAATTTCATATTTGGAGCATGTTTGACAAAAACACAAACACAATAGGATCAAAAGGGAGAAATTTTGGTTGTATTTGATATTAGAAAATAAAGATATTTTTTATTTTTATTTTCTTAAAAAATAAAAAATAAAAGTGAAAACATGTTTGATAATATAAAATAAAATAAAATTTTAAAAAATAAAAAATGTCTCAAATATAAAAACATATTTTATTAAAAACAAAAATTGCTGGTTATTTTTTTCTTATATTTTGTAAATTAAAAAGTTGATCTCATATTTGAATGCTTTTAAAAATTATAAATTAATAAATATGTTATATATTTATAATTGATAAATATATATTATATATTAAAAAGTTGACATTAATTATAATTATCTCCATAATTGTTTATCTTTTTTATTTTTTATTTTTACATTTTTTTTCCTCCGACAAATATATATTTAAATAAATTTTTTTTTTTCAAACCCAACATAGCCGAATTCTCCGAACGTGCACTGTCCCATTTGAAGGGCAGAACCGCGGAAGTGGAAGAAACCTAATCTCCATGATCTTTAGAAGTATATATACTTCATTTTGGTGACCCCAAACACAAACAGCCGCAAAGCTTTCACTTGGACCATGAGCGATTTAACTCTCTCTGAAATCATTTACCCAGAACTCAAAACCACTTCCAGGCTGGATTACGCAGGCACCAACTTCCATATCTGGAAAACTAAGCTTGATTTTGTCCTGAAAGACACTAAAGTTAACTATGTCCTAACTGAACCAAAACCTTCCAAGGACAACGTAGACGACGTCGATCGACACCACAAATGGGTCGCTGATGACTTAAAGGCTCGCCGCATCATCCTAGAAACCCTCCATAATAACCTTTCCATAACGTACAGAAAACACGATACAACCAAGTCCATGATGGACGCTCTCACCATGTATTTCACGAGGCCTTCAGCGGCGAAAAAGTTTAGGCTTCTAAAACGATACAGGGATCACAGAATGAAGGAAGGGACGAGAATTCATCAGCACATTATTGAGATGAATGCCATGGCTAAGGAGTTGGAGTTGGAAGGTGTGAAACTGCCTCAGGAGTTCCACCCTGTGGCTCTGATGCAGAGTTTACCGGAGTCGTGGGGAGATGTGGTAAGGTCGATCACTATGAACTTGGCAAGCGACGAGGAGGGGTTGAATTTGGACAATGTTTGCAACAAGTTGATGAATGCTGGGGATTGGAAGGAGTTCCAAAGGGCTTGTGATGATGAAGAGAGTAGTTCAAGGGCTGGTTCAAGAGGAGGATTTAATGGGAAGTGTTACAATTGTGGGGAGTTTGGACACCGTAAATCTGATTGCCTCAATTAAGGAGGTATTTTCATGGTTCTATCTTTCTGTGCTAATTAACTTTTTGTTATTCAGATCAGAGAAGTTTCAATACAAACAACATAAGTAGATGGATAAAAAACAAGTGCACATATATTGCTTCATGTTTTATTCTTTATTCTCTTCTGTTTTCCTCTGTTTTTATTGTCAACCTTTTCCTTTTTTCTTTCATCTTATATAGGCAAAAAGACTACCCTTAAAGACAACTAGATGGGTCCTAACTGAGATACCAAATGAACAAAATATAAGACAAAGACTAAGAATCCAAGGCTAATCAAATTGGGTATGCAAGCTAACATTCATCATATTGAAAATCCTTCTGATTGATTGAGTGTTTGACCTTCAGCTGCCTGCATGTTGTTTCAATCGTAGCTCTTGCTGCCTAGTCTAGTACTCTATGCTCTAGCTTTCGTTTCTGATGTGCATATCTGCTGCAAATCGTTTAGATTGTGAACTTCTTGAGCCTCTCTTCCTCCCGTAGTTGTGGTGGGCTAATAGAAAATGATATAATTGCATTTATATAAATTAAATCCACCTGAATCCAAATGATTGACCCGTTGGGGAAAGCCGTGAAGTATTCCAATTTAATATTATGATTTTTGTTGTTCAGAGTAATGAGCTTGTACTTTAATATCACTTTTCTTATTGATTCAGGTTTTCATTTCTTTCTTGACTTCTTGAACTTTAGTTTAATTACCTTGTGCTTTGGTTCAAGTTTTCATTCCTTGTTTATGGATAAGGGACAAGCAGTGAGCCGAAGATAATGGTGACGCATGGACTAAGTTGCTAAATTAGTCTTCTAGTCGTCAATTATTTGCTGGCTAAGAGTTGTATTTTGAACGTGATTTGCTATTAGAAGGTTCAGTCAAATCCTTCTTACATAGAAGATGGAACTTGTTATTTATGCCAGTTTTTTTTTACTTGTTTTGGCCTTTCATGGTTTTGTTTATGCTTTTCAATTCTTCAAAGGTTGGCATTGAAATTGAATCCCTTGTGGCAAAGCAGAGGAGCTTGTGTTTGTGGTCGTTGATTTGTTCACTCTAAACATAATTCCTTGTTGAAGATGCACTGTCACACTACCCTCTTTGAGGAGATTCGTCAGTGAAATATGTACTCTAGTAAGAGCAAGACAATGTAGAAAAATTTAAGACGCCTTGTTTTCTGGTTTTATTGGTGATTGCTGTTTTTAAAGTACAAACAGATGGAGAGGCTTCTTCCTGTCCCGCAGAAAGATTTTACATCAAGTATCTTTGTTTTGGTATACAAGTAAGATGCAGCTTCTCCTGCATGCTCAGTTTGCTTCACTGTTTGTATCTTCAAGCAAGCTAGGTGAAGCTGAATATGTAAATAGGATGATCCATGAATCGTCAAGCCAATATGAATCTTTTATTAACCTCATTTCCTCTGCAGTTACCCCGTACATGGCCTGTTTGCATTCTTTAATCATTGAGTTACCTGTTTTCATGAACTAAAGATTTTGGCAAGCGCCATTTTTCTTTTTACTTTGCTTTTTGCAACCCCTCTTCCACAAAAGGAAATGCATAACCTAACCTCCGTTGCAACAACGTTTAGCCTTAGAAGATTCTCACTAACCTACTTGCATAATTAGGAAATGTTGTTCAGAAATTGCAGTAGTATTTCGGAATGATTAATATTATAAATGATTTTTAAATTATAATAAAATGCTTGGTATGATATTTGAATTTAAAAATTTGTTAATTTAATATTTTGAATTATAATTTTATTAATTAATTAATATTATTATTATTATTTATTTTTTTTTATAAGTATTATGTTCATTATCCAACAGAGCAGTAAACTACTATAAGATACATATACAGCTGTTCCAATATTTACATTTCAAACATATTTCTACTTTAACTCCCAGTTTTCAGTTCTCACTCAATTCCTGATTTACATGATCAAAAACAACACTCTTCAGTCTCATTACTCTTAACCTGACTATCTCTTTGATTTGCTTTAAAATCATCTCTTCTGCTAATGCTTCTGACTTGTATATTCTTCTATTTCTTTCTACCCATATCCTGTAAATGTATGCTCCCCAAGCCAACTGAAGCATAATGGAAACCAATGCCTTCCCTTTAAGCTTGGCAACAGCCCACTGGAACTCAGTTTCCCATCCAGCTACTTCTCATCTTAGGTTACATAGCGACAATACCTCCTTCCATACCTTTTTTGAGTAGCTGCAGCTGAAGAAAATATGCTCTCTACTTTCTTACTCTTGCTTACATAATACACAGATCTCATCTACAAGAATCTCCCATGTAATTAATCTATCCTTAGTAGGGAGTCTATTGAGAATAGCCATCCAAGTTATTATAGCAAACTTGGGAATATGTAGCTTGCACCAAACAAGTCCGTGCCAATTTACTTTTGGCTACCTTTGTCTTATTTCATCCCACACCCTAGTAACTGAAAAACCTGACCCCTTGGTTTGCCATATCACTCAATTCTCCGTCTGCAACAAGAATCTAGTTGCAATACATCTCATTTGCAGCAGCTTCCTCATACACTAGCTTTGACCCTGTGCTATTTGTAACTCCCATATGCTCTTCCCTTTAAGAACATAACACTGCAACCCTGCTATCCATAATGAGCCAGCTTACGTGAAAATAGATCATAGTAATCTAAGCATGCAAGCTCTGTTCCAGCTTTCTACATCTTTTAGCCCGTCAGACTTAGGCTGACACATTGTCTGCCACTTTACCCTTGCTCTCTTGGCTGTATCTTCCTGATCTTTCCAGAAAAAAGCACAGCATAGCTGATTAATCTTTTTAATGACCTTCTTAGGCAATATAAAATATCTGCACCAATAATTGTGAAGGCTAAATATTACAGATTGAATCAACTGCATTCTACCGACAGACGCCCTGTTGCCCAAACTGTGTTTTCTAACGGTGATTTTTTTAATTAATGAGGTGTAATCTGTCACATATAATAATTTAAAACTAATCATCTTATATATAAATATTATATTAAAATTTATAAAATTTAGATAATATATTAAATATTTTATTATAATTAAAAAATCATTCCGGACGGTAAGGGGATTCTGAAATCCTATTTGCATTATTGAAGTAAAAACTTTAAACTTTGGTCGAGAACCTGAAGCGACAGCGTGACAGGAATGGCCTAGCGCCTGTCCTCTGCAGTCTGCATTATTATCATAAACTTTGAAGGATTAGCAGGGACTATACCTCCATATATTTTTGTCTGCAGATTTATTGTAGATATCTCTTCAACCAACGCCTGTCAAAAAGGATCGAGAAGATAATATAGAAGCCAAGCAATCAGCGCCTCTCCAGAGTCCAGTTGCTACCACCATCCCTCTTTCTCTGCCTGTTCTAAAACTCTTCCTATTTCTTCTCAATTCTTCCTTAAAGCCAATAATGGCTTCTTTCAATCACCTCTTAAACCCTTTTCATCTCTCCTCAATTCTTGCATAAAGCCAAATAATTGCTTTTTTCAGCCACTTTTTCAAACCCTAAGGCTTTTTTCTCAACGATGAATGGACCTTTATGGAATATGCCAAAATCTGGGTTTTCTTGGTAAGTCTTTTTTTGACTTGGTTTTGGGTTGATTTTTTATGTTTTTGACTTGATTTTATCGCTTTCTTTGAGTGTTTTTTATTATTA